GGATATTTTGTCCATGGGCATTGATAATGTAAAGTGGAGAGGGTGGTGTGGGCTATGGCCCTATGGGCGTGGGAAAGTCGTGGGGTTGGCGACCTTCCTTCTGTTGATCCAATCGTTTTGAGATCCATGCAGTCAGTGGCTTCAGGTCCGTTAATCTCTTTTCAGTTGTTGGAGCACGTCCCTGAAGCAACCGCCTTTAGTCACTGGCAGTGGACGATCTAGTTTAGACGTTGTTAGCGGGTTAGGTATAGGGCCATCGAACTTCTTCGGAACGATGGAGGTGAACTCAATTCGCCTCCTCCTTCAACCTCCCGTCAAGCAATTGCCTTATGGGCTCTGTACAGATCGCGGAGAAGAACCTCTCTCCCGTCGTATTCATGGGCGATCTTCAAGCCTAAAGCCTGGGCAGGCATGTACCTTCCAGATGAAGCAAAGTACTCCTTCGGCGCTGCAGATGTACTGTAGCCACTTCGAAAAAAAAACTCCGGGCATCCACCAATGAGTCCATCAAGTACCACAAAGGGATCGCCCTAGGAAACTCGCCATTCTTCTCTACGCGACCGGCGTCTATGTAACTGCATCTTCTAGTTCGCCGAACAGATTCAACCGTATTCGCGCCCCAGGACAAGGGCCAGGCCCATGTGGACCGAAACCCCAACGACCCTGGGCGCGCTTCAGTATGAACCCCCAAGGAGAAAGAGAAGCAAAGCAACATCTCCAAATCCTGCCGAGCGGTTGAGAAAACCACCCTGGGCGGTGGCTTTCCAGCTAATGTTGCCATCCACGTTTGGGATTACCGGGATCCGCGATGGGAGCTACTGTAGGTACTCGTCCCTTCGGAACGGGAGTTGGATGCGATGCTCTGCTCTGCTGGACGAACCAACAAGTGATCTACCTCGACCATGGCGTTTGCCCAAGGGTTCTCGGCCTAGGCGCCCATAGCGTGGGATAGGAAGCGGGGATTGTCTGACAGAGCGTGGTGGTGAAGGAAAAGAAACGGAAGAAATCTACAGTACCACACCACGTCGTTGACGGAATCGCCTCTTCCATGGCCATCACACGGGGAATTCCATCAGCCAAGTCGTCCCATGCCTGCATAATAGCTCGATATTCCTCCCCCTCCATTTCCGTCCTTGCGACGCTGCTTGCATGTCCGCGGCCCGGGGTTAAGCACCGTCTTCGGGGCTCGAGACGGGCTTCAGATCCAGATTCTGCTTCTCTTTCCGAGTTCCAACGTTCCCGTCCTTTCGCTCTAAAGCGAAATTCTCCACTTGTTCGATCGATTCAACAAGTCTGCAGCAGGGCTATTCCTCACTTGAATCAGCCCTTTGCATGTCCTTTAATGTTCCGCCAGGTGTAACTGCATTCGCTAACGGATGCACAGAGGGGGGAAAAAGAGGTCCAGCTCCGAGGTCCAAAAAGAAAAGAAAAAATTTTCTTCCCTCCAATTCCCCTCCTGCTCCTCGGCTCTCATTCGATCGGTACCTGTTCCAAGAAGAAGAAAACAGTCGAAACCGCAGGGGTGGCCCGGCCCAGGGGCCCAGTGTTAAGGGACCCCTGGTCCTCTCGAGCGTCGGTAACCAGTCAACCTCGCGCTTGGTGCTTGACGCTACTGTAAGTTGCTAATTAGATCTTATCAGATCCGGTTTATCAGATCATCAGATAATTCCCTCATCTCCACTATGGAGCCCAAATCCGCACCGGCGCCGTCTCCCGTTCACCCTCTGACCCCCCCCCCCCCCCCGAGGAGGCCCCCAAAAATCCACCAAGGCCTTCTGTCCGCCCTGTAACTTATTCGCCGCCCTCGGTCGACATGACTGTACAATACCCGGATCCTCGTCGGGCTCGCCAATCACGACCTCGTCACCAACCCCATCTCTCTCCTTCGTGCGGGACCACCCCCTCGCTTTCCTCGAACGACGTTGCGAGACCTGGATGATCGGCTCAGATGGCGCCGGCGCCGTCTCGCGCGGTCCTTGAGTTCGTCAGGTTTCGGTCCCACGATTGACGGTTACGTGTGACTGTGTAAAAGTTTCAGGGGAGGAGAGCCGTCATCGGCGCCGGCCAAGGCGTTTCGTGCCCTTGTCACGAGCCCACGATCCCACGGAGCAATAATAGCCCCCCCAGGACTTGGCCCAGTGGACTGGCACTAACTAAACTAGTCCCTCTTCACTGGGCCAACTAAGATCACAAACATGGTCTCCAGCAGTGACACCATCTGCTCCCTTGAACTTACAAGGACCCAGAGGGCTAACCAAGCCCGCCCTGGGTCGTTCCTAGGGCTTTTTACATATCTTATCTGATCATCCCAATCGATCACCACCGAGGTCGCACCATCGCCGTCGTGTTCGTCGACCGTCTTTGCCCTCCGCAGTAGATCCCTGACCAGCTCTGTCCCAGTGGTCCCCGACTCTCAACAACCCCCACTCCGCCGGTCCGGCTCCTCCTCAGGACGCAAGCTTCACGCGTGGCCATGACCACCCCACTTTGATGAGCGAAGCTGAAGGAGATGGCCGAAGAGAATGAAGGTGAGTGAGCTGCGAGTGAGTGTCTACGGGCAGGGATCAGTCGAAGGCAAGTTGAGGCAAGCAAAGGATACAGACGGAAAGACTCCCTGTCTCTATAGGGCGCAGAGAACATGCGTTCAGAGCCAAGTGAAATTTACACCTGGATCTGAGTGAAGGCTCTCGCAGTACACATACGCAAGCACGCAGCAAACGAGATGCCTCGTCGTACCCGTGCGTATAGGAAGCATCAACGTGGAGGCACAGCCAGTCCTTTCCCTTGCCTCCTGTCGTTTCGATGCCGTCAACGTAAAAATGTCCTCCCACTCAGCCCATCTCTTCCAGACTCTGGCCGTCTCATGGGCCCTGACTTGGTATCCCTGCCCTCTCCTCTGCCCATATGCTGCCCATCCTTGCCGCTTTGAACCTTGACTGCCGGACTCTACCCACGCCGCCACGCATGCCCGGAGGGTCCCTCCACACCCGGGGCCTGTGACGAGTTGGGAAAGCTGTTGCAATTTTTTCCTGCCGTGGCCCGGCACGATGCTGTTCGGAGATGACGGGTGGGATGCGGCGTCTTGGAGGGAGCACTCACTCTCACTCTCAACCACGACGGGGCAGCGCTACGGGACTTCACGGTCCCTCGAGTCCCTTGGACCCGTTAACGAGGTCCACGGGAGGGTCCACGAGGCATGCCGCGGCCGTGGACGTGGACGTGGATGTGGTCACGGAGGCGTCGACTGCGCGACATTTTTTTTTTTCGTCTCTCCCTTTGGTCCCCTTGCACTCCATTGCAGGCAGCTTCTGGTAGTTTGGCGCCTTCGTCCTTGCCTCGTGATACTTGCTTGACCTGCTTGCTTCCTGGCAAGGCCCCTACCTGATAGAGTAACGACCCAAGACAGGGCCTGCATGAGGCAATCCCTGGATCCCCTTGTGTGTAGTGCTCATCGAACACTCACTCGTCGGCTAAACCTCCCGTCCCGAGGGGTGGTCAAAGAGCCGCTTCAGCTCTCCATCGGTGTCGTTCACTAACAAAGCTCCTCGCAAGATCTGATGACGGATCTTTTTGAGGATCGAATCCCCTAAGGGACAAGATACATACCTAGATGACAAAGGAAGGAGAGAAAAAAAAAATCAGAGGCCCTTGGCTTACGGGACCCATTCAAGCTAGAAGCTAAGGTCGGCGCTTTTCAGAACAGAATGGATTGGATATCCACGCGCCCCCTCCATTTCCGATCCCACCCTCGCCCTCCACGCACGCCGCAGACCGACCTAGTCAAGCTGGGCTGGGCTACTCAGGCTGCTGGCTGGATGCTGCTGGTGCTGCTGCTCACATACGTCTTTCTATCCCAAGCATAGCTCCATCGGCCGTCACCACTCCCTCCCACGCAATACTTGCTTGAACTTGCTTGGTTTCTTGCCTTGGTGCCGCTGCTGCTTCTGTTGCTCCACGCCCAGGACGGCCGGCACTGGACAACGACGAGGCATCCAGAACCGGCTCGGCTCTAGTGGGCTCTTAGCTGCGTCCTTCCCGGCGCAGTAGTGTCTCCATTCCATGAATCCCTTCTGCCCCTTCCCCATGTATCATCGAAAAGGTGTATTCGTATGTACGTGCGGCGGACCGTGGTTGTATTAGCATCCCCATGGAACTGACGCCAATGTACCTCAACCGCCTCATGTATGTACCTAGTCGTGCCTTCGGTTCGCGCAGAGCGCCGGTATGCGTTCTTTGATGTACCTCTGGGCTCTCTGAACCCGCACGCCCGCGCTGGCTCGCTGACCCAGCCTCGCAGCCTCCTCCAGAGTTGTGTACTTGGCCGCTGGTTCTGCTGCCGCTGCTACTCCTCATGGGACCCGTAGTCTTAATTTGCTCCGAACTGAGAAGTGGCACGCAATGGGCCGGATGGGACTAAGAGAACGCTGTCGGCTGTAGATCCCATCCCCGACTTGACTACAAAATGCTCATATGTCCCCCCCATCCCCGAGGCCTTGTGTCCGTCCCCTCTCCTCTTCTTCTCCATAACCCCAAGACCTTCTGAGAGACATCTCAAGAGCTTCCTTCATCCTCTCAAACTCTCTCCCATCGTCCGAGATCCCATCCCAACCTGGTTCGCTCTTGTTCCGTTGGTGTTTATACCCAATTGGACCACCAACGAGACCTCGCTTGACCTCGTCACACTCCCGTTGGTCAAGCTCAACCGCGGAACTGTCACGCTTCTCTTGTGGCTAGAACTGTCAAGATTCTCTCGTGCGGAACGATAAAAAGCAAGCAACCCTCTTTTGCAGCCGGTGTCATCCGTTCCGGTTCGCCTTTTTAAACTGGACCTTCTGCTGGCCTTGTCTCCCACGTCACGACTCACGAAGCAACGACTCTCTGTAGGCGCATCTTTTTTTATAAAAGGTCGTCTTGCCCTCAATTCCCACTTCTTTTTCACTATCTAGACATATACCCCTTCACTACTCCACATCTGGATCCCAATTGCTGCTTCCGCCACCATGACTCCCCACAGCGAGGTTTCTCTTAACGGCGCCGAGTCCGCCCCGGCCCTGAACGGAACCAACGGTACCAACGGTACCGCCAACGGTCATCACGGACCTTCCAACGGCACCTCCAACGGAGCCACCAACGGTAACGGCCACCATGCCGCTCCCGTCACCGGACCCCGAGTCCACAAGGAGCGCTCCAAGTATCTCGAGGCCTCCCCCGCGGATTCCGAGTTCGACCTCATCTGCGCCGGCTTTGGCCCCGCCAGTCTTGCTGTCGCCGCCGCCATCCACGATGCCCTTGCCGAGGGCCAGAAGCTCACTCCTGATGGCTCCGCTCCCAAGGTCCTGTTCCTCGAGAAGCAGAGTCGCTTCGCCTGGCACGCCGGCATGCTCCTCCCCGGAGCCAAGATGCAGATCTCTTTCATCAAGGACCTGGCCACTCTCCGCAACCCCCGATCCGAGTTCACTTTCCTCAACTACCTCCACTGCCAAGGCCGTCTCGTCGACTTCACTAACCTGAGCACTTTCCTGCCTGCCCGTAACGAGTATGAGGACTACCTCCGGTGGTGCTCTTCCTGGTTCGACCACGTTGTCCAGTACAACAACGAGGTCCTCTCCATCTCCCCTGTCGACAAGGAGGCTGGCGCCGTCAAGAACTTCATTGTTCAGGCCCGCAACGGCAAGACCGGTCAGATCCAGTCCTACCGCAGCCGACATGTCCTCGTCGCCGCTGGTGGCCAGGCCTCGCTCCCCAAGAGCCTCCCCTCCAAGCACCCTCGCGTCCTCCACTCCTCTCAGTTCGCCAACTACGCTCCTCAGATCCTCACCAAGCAGAACGCTCCTTATCGCGTTGCCGTCATTGGTGCCGGCCAGAGTGCCGCCGAGATCTTCAACAACGTCCAGAACCTTTACCCCAACTCCAAGACCTGGTTGATCATGCGCCAGGAGTTCCTCCGGCCCAGCGACGACTCTCCTTTGTAAGTTGCATCATGAAATTCTAGGTATTTCTTGCTAACCCGAGCAAAGCGTCAACACCGTCTTCAACCCAGAGTACATTGACAGCATGTGGCCACGATCTGCCAATGCCCGTCAGGCTCTGCTTACTGAGGCCCGCGCCACCAACTACGGTGTCGTCCGCTTGGAGCTGATTGAGCACCTCTACGAGAAGATGTACGACCAGAAGCGTGAGATTAGCGACGATGAGACTCAGTGGCCCCACCGAATCCTGGCTGGCCGTGAGATCGCCAGCGTCGACACCAAGGGCGACGTCCTGGAGATCAAGGTGCAGAACGTCCAGGACGGTCCCCTCGACGGCTTCGTCAACGAGGAGATCCTCGAGGCTGATCTTATCGTCGCCGCCACCGGCTACAAGCGCAGCGCCCACGTCGACATGCTCAAGGACGCCTGGTCCATGCTGCCCAAGACAGTGTCGGGCCGCACCGAGTTTGGCAAGGGCGTCAACGGATGGAACGTCGAGACCGCCGAGGGTGAGCGCAAGATCGCCGTCGCCCGAGATTACCGGGTCAAGTTCTCCCCCGGAGCCGTTGCCGACAACTCTGGAGTCTGGCTGCAGGGCTGCTGCGAGGGTACTCACGGGGTAAGTTTTGCTACGTCAGAGTGTCATTATAGCCTGTACTAACTATTCTATAGCTGAGCGACACCCTCCTGTCTGTCCTGGGCACCCGCTCAGGCGAGATTGTTCAGTCGATTTTCAAGCAGTAAAAGCGTCACGTCACGACAGCATGAATGAATTGGTAGTATAATATGGGTAGCAAGGGCAGCGAAAATAGTCGGCCGGACTCGATGAGCAATCATCCGGCCTGGTCATTTTTATATCCTACTTTTTCTTTGAATCATTTATACCGCGATTTTAGCACTCAGAATGGTGGATTTTCAGCTCAGTTTCTTTTTGGTGTTTTCTAGACCTGGATAGGGCCCCAAAGAGGGCATCAAAAAAACAGTTCGACTCTTTTACTCTAAACACTCACTCTTATCATGCATTTCTTATCCGTGCCAATTGATCATTATCCAGTATCATCATCATGTTTGTCTGAAAGATTACTTTAGGCTCTTCCTCACTGGCTACAGCACGATTAGAGAGTACCAGCCATCCAGGTCAACGGTTCTGAATGTCTCAGGAACATGCAACACTGCCGCGATGCCGCACGTCGCCCAATCCGGTTCCTATTCGACATCAAGGCGGTTTCTTCCTTCATGTTAGCCAGCCCGATTACTCACCCACGGAAACAAACTCGTTCGATGTTTCCTTTATCCGCCTCGGACCCCGTCGTCTTCCGCCGAGCGTAGCATCTTCTGTAGGTCACAAACGGTCAGACCTTCTAGAATCGGCAATGCCTGCGGTAATCTTTGCTCATGGCGATGACATCGTCCGGGCCGAGCACAAGAACGTGTCAGGAAAGGCATGGGCTTGGCTGCGCGCATGCGGTGGCTCATGAGCCTATCACGACCGCATCCCGCAGGTGTCCCTCTCCGGGCAGCTCCGAAACCCACCTTGTATCTCGTGAGTTGACGAGTATGCTTGTTTCAGCCGTATCTAAACTGAAGAAAAAAACAGAGATGCCAAAGTCTGGAGATGTGATGCGCAGCGCAGGCGGCGGCGGGCTGGGCACCCTGGCATCCCTCCATTTCGCTGTAACCCACAACCGCGCACGCCCACTCAGGACACGGATTTCCACCTTTGCTTGCTTCTGGGCCTCGTCACGCACTCGCTGCATGACGGGCTAATGTACGTAAAGAACCTGCAAGAAATCTCCAAGGCCAGTGAGTGACAAGGATGCGTTTTGGACGCCCAGAGCGGTTTAACCCCCGGCTACAACCTACCTATGTATGTAAGGGAGAGTTTGACCAAGTAGCAATAGGAAATAAATTCCCTCGAGTCCAGGCCCTGTTTCGAGTTCTATCTGAGTGAGCAGTAAGAGCGCCGAGTTGACAGGGTTGTGACTCCTTGTCAACTGTGCTGCAACTCTCTTTCAGGCGCTTCTTTTTCCTGACGCCTCTTAGGTTTGTTTTTCCCGCCTCCTCATGCAAGGACAATTGCCATCCCATTGCCTCGGCTCCGTAACTCTTTGACCTGTGAACAGTTCAGCCCATGTACTGCTAGCGTTTGTGCCCGGGACAAGGGCCATAGGACCCCAGGTAGACAGGCCTGGCTCTTCTTCGAGTGCCCAGAGAGTCTAAATGATGATTCTTGCCCAGAATGCATCTTCGTGTGACGGTTCGACGAATTGTCTGTCGTGTCGTGTCGTGTCGTGTCGGGGTGGATTCAGATTCTAACCAGGGGGTCAAAGACGGTCAGAGCTGGCAAGGGTCATGAAGCGAACGAGCCTTTTTTTTTCCCGTCCTCTGAAGCTGGGATTGGAAGACTCTGTCCATTATTCATCCATCCCATGACGCTACGCTACGCTCCGAGACAGATACCAGAAGCCGAGAGGAGATTCCATCCTCCGGCCGGCAAATGACCCCATCCTTCGTTGGTGTATCGCATCGATCGAGTGGGACGGAAAGCGGAGCGGAGTTTTGACTTGACAGCCGCGGGCGGCGGGCTAGAAGCTATCCATTTGCAGCCAGCAGCCAGCCAGCATCAATCACGGATCGGATCAGCTCAGCAGCACACGCAGCGCAGACGCAGCCCAGCCCCAGCCAAGGCACACGACACTGACGGTTATCCAATCCTGACCTCGGCACGCCGTCCGTCAGCTACGCGGATGACAGCCTGACTGACGACTTACTGGCTCTCACCCCGCGGGACTTGTATTACGCTACACTACACTACGGTACCTTGTCCACGCTGCCATGCGGCGGCTCGACGGCGCCGCCGCCGGCTCTGAGGCTTCGGGTCCAGCAGCGTCACCGTCCCCTCAGCCTACTGGTACGGGTGCTGGTCCGCCATTGCAGCGTCTTCCCGTGAATCCACGTCGACACAAGGTTGCTCCAGAACGGCGCAAACGCGTTGTAACAGCGTAAGTCGAGGTTTGAGTCTCTTTGATCTATCTGTCTGTCTGTCTGTCTGTCTCTCCCTTCATGTATCCACCATCCATCTACATGCATGTCCCAGATTCCGTAAACACAAGAGATCTTGTCCTGTCTAACATGTCGTGTCTCTCCCAAGGTGCAATGCTTGTAATATCCGCAGAGTACGCTGCTCGGGCGAACGTCCTTGTCGCCAGTGCAGCTCGTCCTCGCGTGAATGCGTGTATCCCGTGCCCGTTGAAAAGGTCACCGTTACGCGTTCTGAGCTGGAGGACCTGAGGCGCAAGGTCGACCTGTACGAGCGAGCCCTGCAGGATACGGTACCCGAAGCCATCTCCAGCGCCGTGCCTGATGCCACGAGGCGCCACGAGCTGCTCAGCTTACTCGGTCGTTCGGACCCTTATCAGACTACTGGGGGGTTGGCCGCAAGTGAAGCAGCCAGGACGCCACTGTCCAGCGTGCAGCCTGGTGTTATCGCTGTGACGTCGGCTGTAGATGGTCAGGTTCAGCTCGTCCGGGCACCATCTGAACTTCCTCCCCCTCAGCAAACCGACCTACAACGGCAATACCAGCATCAGCCGTTGCCCCAGGTTCAATTCCAGGATACCCCATTCCCTCAGCTTGCCGCCCCTCCCATTGTTCAGGTTCATCACCATCGACAGGACGATGAAGATGGCGTATCGACTGAGGGCCGCTTACTTCACGATCCTGATGGACACGCCCGCTTCCTCGGTGAGACAAGCGGCGCGACGTTTCTCGACTACTTGAAGGAATTCATGACAACCGTCCTACCTCTCGCATATCAGAATCTTCGTCCAGGTTCTGACGGCAGTGCATTCTTATCCAGCCTTGGCCGCTATCAAACATACGACTCACGGCCTTTACACGACCGAGATGTCGACCCCTTCTGGTTCCCTCCCCGACCTGAAATGGACTATATGCTGTCCGAGCTACGATGCTTCCTCCAGGATGGTAACGGCCACTGGCCAAGCGGGGGTATCTACTGGTGGGGGGATCTCTCTTCAGCGCCCATCCTCCCTGCCATGGAACGAGACACTCCTCTCGCCCGACTAAACAAATGCCGCCATCTCGCCTTTTATCATACTGCCTTTGCCCTCGTGTCCCAAGCCACAGCGACACCGCCCCAGGACTTGACTATAGACTCTCATCTAAGCGAGTATTACTTCAGCCGTGCCCGGCTTCTTCTAGGCAACCCACTCGATATCACACGGTTCACCGGCAACGAGGTGTCGACGTTAACATTAATGGGCTTCTACTTGATCGAGATGAACCGTCGAGATGCCGCCTACATGTGTGTTAGCAACGCCATGCACATCAGCATCATGCATGGAGCCCACCGAGTATGGGCGGATGAGGGTGGAAAGAGAGTCTTCTGGACACTCTACGTCCTCGATCGATACTTGAGCTGCCTGATGGGACGCCCTCCTACTATCATGGACGATGCCATCCGATTACAACTTCCATGCGACGCACCGTAAGTAAACCTGAGGACCTCATGAGCGGCTTTTGTTGACTATTTCATAGAGGAATGCCTCCCGCTGATGGCCTTAGAGCTCATGTTGAACTTTCGCGTATATCCGGCCATATTGTGTGCAACACATATCGTGTATCTCCATGGGATGGCAACACAGGGCCGGTTAGGAACCTTGAAGAGGCCATCAGGTTACTTGATGAGTGGAGTCTTAATCTCCCTCCCTCTCTTCAACTCTCCAATACCGGGTTGAGCGATGATCCAGCTTGTTGTCTATTACACATGAGCTACAATCAGGTAAGTCCCAATAACCCGCTTCATGGCTAGATCTGTGACTAACACATGTCTAAAGTTGATCATATTAACCATCCGACCCCTCTTCTTCGCCGCAGTGAAGAAGTCATTCGCAGAGAGACTAGTCACGCGTCAATGTTCTCTACGTTCCCATCCCCAGCTCCCTCAACTCAAACGCTGCACCGCCGCAGCAGACCACAATATTCGCCTCGCCCGCCAAATGCTAGCCATCAACCACCCCCGAAAGCTCCTTCAAGCTGGCCTTCACTTCATCTTCAACGCCGCCATCTGCTTGATGCTGCGGGAGCTGGTAGTGGATGACGAGGTCGCCGAGCCTAGGGATAAGAGACTCCTCTGTCAAGACCTTGACTTTGTGATTGCCAGGTTCGAGGATGAGAGCAGAATTGGGAGTAACTACGGTCGAGACTGCGCTACGGTTCTTCGAGATCTTCGTGTTCTCGTTGGACGCCTCCGAACGCCAGTCGACACCAGTCTTGAACCTCTACGCTGCCACACCATGCCACAGCAGTCTACCACTACGACCTACGACCCGATTGAGGGCCGGACTACGGTAGACATGGGACAGCAATGGCCGGAAAAGTTGACTTCAGAGGCCCTCCAGCAACCGATTCTCGTTGAGCAGGGACATGTCCTATATGATGAGCTGGTCTCGTGGATTGATGGCGAATGGAACTCCTATAGCGGATATCTCATTTAATGGTTGACATATAAAAAGGCATTTAGGAACAATAAGGGAGGGTTAGCGATGCTTTTAACGGCGGTAGAACGTCATTCGATAGCTATTTGATAGATACATAAGATGTAATAGCCTTCACAATCAAAATATTCATAGACAGATTAACCTTCGCGATCCTTCACTTTACTTCACTCCACTTCACTTAGCCCAAGCCCCTATCTACCCTGCGGAAAGACACTTCATCAAGCCTTCATACTTGCCTTGTCTTCTTAAGCTCTCTCCTTGGAGTCGACAATTATGTAGCTGAAGAAATATGATAGTCCACGCTGTAAGTCAAGTCGGATCGCTCAATATGGAACATCGAGGAACTCCCTTGTTTTGGCTGCTCTGATCGTGATCCAAGGTTTCTAGTCAAAGAAGTACGCGTAAAAAAAGCAAATCGGATTCACTTCAAACAATATCCATAACTGACATGATAATCCTGCTGTTCATTGTAAAAGACCCCCCTTCCTAGCATATCGTTTAAATCCAACAGTGCGCCAGTTCATTCTTCCTCACAAGCCCTAAGCAGATACTTGCCCAGGTATTTGTGTCGTAGAATTCACGAGAAGAAGAAAAAAAGAAAAAAAAAGGGTATGTCCCTCAAGAAATAGACGATGCCTCCCTCTCCCTAGTTCTACATGGCCTTTCTTTCTTGTCCCAAAAAAACTGTATCATTTCCCTTTGTCCCATAAACACCGTCGTTAAGCAGCAGCAGGCGCTCCTGCCTTGTCGTTTGCCGTCTCCCTCTCCAGGAGGGTTCCAAGATGTTGAAGATCTTCTCGTGCGCGAGGATCTCGCTCAAAGATCTTTCGAACCACTTCCCACTCCCTGCGTGACATCTGCCACGCTTGGGGGAGGATGAACTGAACTGTCGGAACACTAATCAGGGGTCCAAGGATATCTTGTGCCATAGCAGTACCGGCCTGCTGAGCCTGGTACTTTTGTGCCTCCGACATATCCGTCGGAGCCGGCGGCTGGCTAGCTGGAGGTGCAGTCGGTGCTGGGGCTGCAACTGGCCGGGTGTGAGGCGGCTGTGGGATGGGCACCGGTGTCATGGAATGCAGGTGAGGTGGTGGCGAACTCTGAGGGAATGCTCCCTGGGGCGCCTGGGGTGTTGCTGGTGAGAAGGCAGGGCCTGCTGACGCCGTCGAGTTACTTCGTTGAGCGTGTCCTACCGGAGTTGGCGACCCCTGAGCGCTCGCATCTTGTTGATTCGAGGCATTATCCTTCAGTTGCTTAAGCTGTTCAGGATCATTGCGATACACAAAGACCGCCAACAACATCGGCTCAGTGCGAGTCTTGGGGATCTTGTTGTCAACAAGGTTGAGCATAAACTCGGGATAATTATCCTCTCCAGGGGGGACTGGCACAAGATACGTGTCTCGCACATTTCCTACAACCTTGTCCCCGACCACACCATACCGCTTCTTGCTCAAAAAGTAGTCGATGAGAGCGTTAAACTCGGCATGTGAAGCTGGAGACACAGGTGTAATGCTAACAACGATGATATCGGTGAAGCTGCTGTAGCGAAGACTGCAGAGGTACTCTATGGCACTCTGCTCTGTGATGCGGCCAGCCACTGTCATTCGTGTTGGAATCAGTTTCGACCATGGCCCAACCGCGGCAAAGTTAGCGCCGCCGATGTGCTTGGCCGTTGCTGGGAAGTCCGCGATCGAGCTCATAGCCAACGCACCCCGCCAGATAACGTCGGGGTCCTGGGTTTCCTCAGTAGGAGAGTACGGGGGCGATTCATTCTCCTCTTGGAGCATCCGGTCGACATCAGCATCAACACCCGGGCCATTAGCCGGGGCGATGGGAGCCGACGGACGGCGATTCTGAGTAGCAGTCGGAGACTTGACACTCGAGAAGACCTTGGTGATATCAAAGTCGGGATGGCTCGGTGATCGTTGCTTATCGTCATGCTGTACTGGATGGGAAGCGAGGTCCGGCTTGTCTCCCCCGACAGGCTCTTTCTTAACGGTCTGAACCGGTGGGCGACGCGGACCTGCTGGGAGAGGCACTGGGGCGTCATTGACAAACGACTCATCGTCGATAACCTCTTCGCCCTTGTGCGTTCGTCGTACGCGAGGTCCTGTTTCAGATGTGTAGAAAATAGACTGTTTTTCAGCCTTGGCCTTCATCTCGGCAGTCTGCTTCTGCATCTCTGAAGAAGCAAGCTGCTCTGATGTCATGACTGCCAGGCCCAAAGGCGAAAGGGTCCTAGCCAAAAGTCCATTGCACAGTTCTGGGTTGTTCTTAAGGTTGAAGGCTAGTGTTTTGACCTGTTGGCTGTACTCCTTCTGTCCCTTGGTCACAGGGTGTGTGTCAAAGACGGCACGTTCGATTTGTAGAGCAAGCGTCTCGGACTTGGACTCGATCGTGCTGCCCTCCTCGAGCTGGAGGTTCCCTTGCTTCTGTAACGAGGTCAAGAGATGGGTGATGGACTTGTTCAACGCCTTGGCCGGTCCCATTCGTTGGTTGGGTAGTTCTCCGATCGCCTTGGCTAGGTCTGCTGGAGGCGTGTAGGAGACTGTAGGTACAGGCGTGGCTTCGTTCTCTGCTACGCGGCGGATCTTGGTCGTCTTAACATTCCACTCAGAGTTAGCAACCGGACAAAGTCCATGCGGGACACATAAGGGACAACTTACCTTGCCATCAGTGTCGTGGGAGTCTTCTCGAGCCTTTCGTTTCCCAGTCTTGGTCTCCTTCTTCTCCTTGGGGGCATCTGGCGCCGGAGACGGCTTGGCCTTGGACTTGTCTTCGTCCTTGGTCTCGCTATGTCGCTTGCTCTTGCCCTTGCGACCGCCACGCTTCTTCTTCTTGGCCTCTTCATGCGCTTGACGCCTGGCTTCCCAAGGTTTCTCTCCCTTGGCCATACCGTCGAGGAGTTCCTTGTGATCGTCGGGTCGGCATTGTTCGCACCAGTAATGCTCGGGGATCTCGTCGTCAAACGAGCTCACTCCGACACAAACGTTGTGCTGCCACGCGCCGCAGGTTTCGCAGGCGATCCAAGCCTCACCAGAATCCTCATCCTGTTCAGTCGCGCCGCAGACGCAGCGGATGAGCTCGTCCTCCTCATCTTCCTCCTGGCCCTGCTGCTGCTCCTGTTCCTGCTCTTGCTCCTTGGCCTTCTTGGTCTTTTTTGTCTGTCGTCGCTTGGGGACGGTCGCAGGTTCAAGTTCGTCGAAGGATTTGGTGTGCTGGCCCTTGGTGGCGCGCACCGATCGTCGAGGTTCTGCTTCGCCTGAATTGTTGTTATTAGTTGATCTGCTGGAACGGCTGGTTTTGCTGATTTTGTCGCGCTTTGGGGGAGGAGCCTCGTCCTCAGCACCCTTTGGGCGTCTAGACGAATTGGCGGGTCGTTGTCGCTTACCGGACATGGTGTAAGGTGTGTGAATGTGTGTGTACAAACAGCGGTCTTCAAGTGGGAGGCGCGTTCCCAGGTCGGGTGATAATGTGTGAATGGCGGCGCAGTCGTGTTAGACGGAGGGGTCTACTGTTGCAGCAAGGCGTGGGACGGCGTATACCCTCAGACAGACATTGAGCTAATTACGTGGGAGACAACTAAGAGTCACGACTATGTCACGGCGAATTCTCCCCAGGAAATCCACGCGCAGATTTGTCTGCCTCTCCAATTTCTATCCGCCTTGGCGCAAAGAGATGCACTCGCTGTCGGAAGTACCAAACAGAAAGATTATCGTGGGCGCAAAGCTCAAAGACAGATCTCCTCCGCGTTGAGTAATGCGCGAAAGGATTTGAAAGTATGGCTGTTTGCAGTGGGAGTCACAGAGTCCGTAAAAGGCGCGCGACGATTAGTTGGTGATGCCGATCCGATATCAGCAGGATAGAGCGGGTCGCGTGCCGAGGCTGCGAGTGCGCGCGAGCTCTGCTGGGTTATCCAAGACGGAATCCGCTTGCTTCGGGTGTCGCGTCAGGCGGGAAAAATCAGTCGAAATGGTCGCGAACCGTCCGAGAAACAACTTCCCAGGCGGTGATGATGTAAAGGGGAGGTTTTGGCTTCCCAGGGTTGGAGGGGGGGAAGGGAGCTCTATGCGGAGGTGGAAAACTTCGGCAGTGGCATCCACCCACTCCTGCCCTACGACAGCTTGCGCTTGATGTGGTGGCGGGTGCTAGAGGTGGCAGGTGAAGCTGTTTGGTGCCTGGTGGCGAGTAAAATGCCTGATAAATCAGACAGCGATTCTTGACGTGGAAAAGGCTTAGTCACCACTAGGAATCGAGCTGGTCAGCCTTGCAGTCACACAGCCAATCGTATTGTGTCCCGCTCCATAGTGTCAAGGCCTCAGGCATCAATCCTCAGCCTAGGCCCAGGCACACTAAGCAACAGGAAAGCTAACGCGGCGCGGCGGCCTAGAGCTCCGTCACAGGCTACCTGGGCTATACCGGCGTAAACGAACCCACGCCTCAACTCCAACGACCAAATCATCACCGCAACCTCCTACCTTGGTAGACCTGCTCTTTGACGTACCTGGAGAGTTGCATCCCTTCCGCTCTATCACCCGTATTACTCTCCGATCGTCGCCATCATGTCTCGCCGCTACGATTCCCGAGTGCGTGTGCCCTTGAAGCTCCAGCAGTTGGAAGCTCTCCCGCCAAGCTGACCGGTTCTGATAGACAACCATCTTCTCACCAGAGGGTCGCCTGTACCAGGTCGAATATGCGCTAGAGGCCATCTCACACGCCGGTACCGCCATTGGTATCCTGGCCAAGGATGGTATCGTCCTGGCCGCCGAGCGAAAGGTCACCTCGAAGCTGTTGGAGCAGGACACTTCGGCCGAGAAGCTCTACATCCTGAACGAGTGCGTCCATCTTTTTTTGCTTCTATATCAAGACATTGATAAGATGGATGGGTCTTGCTAACTTGTGCCTGTCATTTAGCAACATGATCTGTGCTGTTGCTGGAATGACCGCCGATGCCAACATCCTCATCAACTACGCTCGACAAGCCGCCCAGCGATACCTCCTCACTTACAACGAAGACATCCCCTGTGAGCAGCTCGTTCGCCGACTCTGCGATCTCAAGCAGGGTTACACTCAGCACGGTGGTCTGCGACCCTTCGGTGTGTCCTTCATCTATGCGGGGTGGGACCCTCGAAGACAGTTCCAGCTGTACCTGAGCAACCCCTCGGGCAACTACGGTGGCTGGAAGGCCACAAGCGCGGGTGCCAACAATGCTAGCGCACAGAGCTTGTTGAAGCAGGATTACAAGGAGGATTGCACCCTGAAGGAGGCTTGCGGTATGGCCGTCAAGGTCCTGAGCAAGACCATGGACTCTACCAAGCTCAGCAGCGAGAAGAGTATGTGACTCCCTGTTAACTATCTCGAGCCCCGTAACTAACCCCCATTCAGTCGAGTTTGCGACAGTAGGACAGACCGAGGACGGCAAGATCTACCACCGACTGTGGAGCGCCGATGAGATCACGGCGCTGTTGAAGGAGCACGATCTGGCAAAGAGCGAGGAAACCGAGGAAAAGTAGGGGCCAAGGCAATAGATTCTTGATAGATGGGTAGGAGGGGAGCGGGACCCTAATCTGCCCCTGTACAATAATATCATGAAATGACCAAAGGACGAGACGACAAATCTGACCAAGTCAAGTCTAAAGAGCATACGAAGCTCGCTCCGGCGGTGTGAAAGCAGGCTGACAAACAGAATGAAGCCAAACGGTTTGAAACAAGTACGCCACTATGCCTAAGTCCCCAGTATCAGCGTCGCGCATTTCTCAAGTCATCCATCTCATATCCTACATCTGTCCCAACCCTGGCTGCCTCCTCATCGTCAGTGACTCGTTGCCAGCCAGGTTGGGTATCAACGCCCGGCGGCGGATAAGGTTCATCGCATCGCTGGCTAGAGAGCCGGGGCCAGTGTCGTCGGTAGCTCCAGTATGCGATGCTCATGCCAAGAGCTGAGCCCACACAGACATCGTAGACGTCGTGACGGTAGTCCTCGCATCGGGATATGGCGACGAGAGCAGCTCCAATGAGCGGCAGAAGACAAACCAGGGCGCGGCTAAGATCGCGACCTCCGGCTGAGTAACGGAAGACGTGAAGCTGTCCGGCGAGAAAGAGGCTAAGGAATCCCAGACCAGCAAAAGAGAAGGATGAATGACCCGAGGGGAAAGATCGCCAGCCCTCCTGGAGAACGTGACCATCATGTGCCGTGCAGACTTCGATGGTAACAAGGGTGTTGGCCTTTGTAGTAGCAGCAGGTTGGCAGCGATCCAGCAAATCCGGACGAGGCCGGCCCACGGCGTTCTTGATAATGTCAGTGAGAAAGGAGGTGAGGACGATGGAAATGAGGAATGAGAGATAGGTGACTTCGTGCTTGGCAGCTGATGACCTGGCGATGACATTATAGGCGATGAGAACTCCAAGAGGGATAAACAAGGCGTATACGAAGTTCATAACTTGATCTTGTCAATTGATGTCTCGCAGGCTAGATGTGGTTAGAGAGGTTAAAGGAGAGACATACAGACGGGGACACGCTCCTTGACCGCAAATGGGTATGAGATACGCAGGTCATTAATGTAGAACATGCGATGAAACGGATTGACAAAGAGGACAATCTATGCAGGGCGTTAGTGGGTGTAGGTGTGCCAAGGGGAATAGAGGTCCGTACCAAGATCCATCCCGTCAGGAGGATGACGAATCCAACATAGTCGGGCGCATGAGTTGTCTATTGAGCGCAACAATACAAATACCTAATTAGTCTCCTGCTCTCTTAATCGTGTGATACATCCACGCAACATACCCTCCATTTCCTTCGCAGGAACGAAATTGGCCCGCCGGACGAGCCGTAGCTATGAGCAGGAGCCATGACGGAGTATGGGCGCAGGGGTTTTGCAACTGAGATGCTTGCGTGACATTGATTGAAGGCGTCTTAGCAAGCAAAAGTCCAGGTGATTAAAAGATACAGATATTGAGAGAATACGAAGCAAGCAAGGCGGGCATCTAGGTCATGGTTGAGCCAGTGACGATATTCGCTCTGGTGTTGAAGAGTTGACAGATTGTAAGCGCCGTTGATGATGGCGAGGTTGGTGTCTCGAAAAAGAAACCCGGTCCCAGCTCCCCGAATTTCTGGGTCCGCTCAGGAGAGAAGAACCATCGATACTTGACTCACTTAGACAGAGCAGATGACAATAAATGTCTTTAAAAATAGGCCAAAAGCTATAATCCATCGTTCTCTAAGCTCGGACATGGTATCATTCGCTCAATAATACTATCTTATTATGCCAAGACGTTTGGCTCTTTGCTTGGAGATTGAATGGTATCCACCACATATCTGAGTAGTGAAATACAGAGAGACTTAAACATATGCATAGTAGACATCTTCTCAAGAGCCTCACCAGCACGAGAGAAACAGTATAGCCAATACAAGTATAGACACTTAGAATATATCAATAAATGATTTCTCGTCCAAGGTGACTATTTTTATGACCTCTCATGGCCTTGAACACAGTATCCATAAAATTTGTCTCCGGGAGTCTCTAGGGTAAGCACATTTCAACCGCCGACCCACTCTTCCAGGGCCCAAGCTTCCGGAATTCTTCAACTTTGCGATCATCGCAGGCATGAATATCATCATGACCCTGACTTAATTCTTCCTTTAAACCACGATCCCTTCTACACTCTCCTTCGTGACCCCCCGAGTCCTTACAAACCTGTACACCGTACAGGTCTTTCTCTGAAGACCCTTCGATTCCAATACTGTCTCTAATGGTGTAGCTTGCGACGCGACGCGACGACTCAAGATGCTCAAATCAACACATAAACCATCAGCAGCCGCCTTGGCGCCGCTGCCTCCAGGATGGACCGAACACACGGCGCCGACCGGCCATACATACTACTACAATACCGAGACGAAAGAGTCAACATACAAGCGCCCAGGGACAGAGCTCCCACCACCACAGCCGGCGCAACCACCAGCGTCCGCCTACCCTGCCTGTGGCTCTGTGCCTTCCCTCGCCGATCCCAACGTCGCCAATGCTTATATGGCGCAACTCAACCAACCGCAACATGGAGGGCCGCAGAATCATCAGCGAGGTGGTCATGGGGGTGGTCGTGGGGGTTTCGAGGGTCGACCACGCCCGCAGCCAGTCGACAAGCCGAGAAGGAAAGAAGTGATTCCAGGTTGTGAACCGTGGATTCTTGTATACACCAAGTATTCGAGACGATTCGTGTACAACCCGGTCAAGAATGCTAGCTACTGGCGCATTCCAGAGAAGCTGATGCCGGCAATCCTGGAGCTTGACAAGGAACGGCTTCGCAAAAAAGCAGAGGGACTATCTGTGGAAGAGCCAGAGGCAAAGAAGGATGAAAAGAAGGACGAGCCCACGGCGGCACCTAGGACAGAAGTACCGGACCAAGAGAACGATGACGACAGCGAATACGAGGAGGTCGAGGTAACAGACGACGAGGGCGAAGGTGATGATGACGAAGGTGATCGCCCATCGAAACGACAGCGAACCGAAGAAGACGCAGCCGAGGACGAGGATGAGGCGATGGAGTTCACAGAAGCAGACTTTGCGGCGCAACTTCAAGCTATGGGAGAGGACTATGGCCTGGAACCTGGCGACTACGACGACGGCAACGCCGAGGAATGGCCTGAAGGTGCTGAAGGTGTGCCATTTACACAAGATGACGCCAAAGCACTGTTTAAGGATCTGCTCAACGACTTCAACATCAACCCCTACAGCCCATGGGAGAAACTACTGGAAGAAGGAAAGATCATTGACGATTTGCGATACACCGCCTTGAGCACGACCAAGGCACGACGAGAATGCTGGGATGAGTGGACACGAGAAAGGATTGCCGAGCTAAAGGAGCAAAGGGCCCGACAGGAGAAGAGGGATCCTCGTATTGCTCTTCTGGCCTTCCTCCAGGAAAAGGCAACACCAAAGCTTTACTGGCCCGAGTTCAAGAGGAAACACAAGAAGGAGGAAGTCATGAAGACTCTCAAAATCACCGACAAGGATCGCGAAAAGTCATACCGAGAGCACATCAGCCGACTCAAGATGCCACAGTCAAAGCTCAAGTCGGACCTCACTGCCCTGCTCAAGGCGCAGCCCATCCACCTCCTTAACAACAAGTCGTTATCGACCGGCTTACCTGATGCCATCCTTACTGATCTTCGGTATATATCCCTTGAGCCCCAGGTTCGCGATCCTTTGATCGAGGCTTACGTGAGCAACCTGCCTCCGCCACCCGAGGACCCAGACGCTGCCAAGGACGACGAGGAGAAGAAGAAGCAGCAGGAGGCAAAGGAGAAACGTCAAAAGGCTCTCGAGGATAGAAATCGGGCCGTTGAGGAGCAGAGGAGGAAGCGCGACCGTGAGGTTGCAGTCAGCAAGGCCCGACTCAGAGAGGAAGAGAGGGAACTGGAGATGGCTATGAATGTGGGGAAGCAAGGATTACAGAGTCAATTGGCCAGCATGAAGGAAACCGAGAAGGAATCTTCATGATGCCGGTGTTCATCAGTCATTTCTAGCGTTTCAATGGTCTCGCGGGAGCCTCATCTAAATACATCTGCTGCAGAACCAATACCACCACCATCTACAGCCCATACACAAAGGTCAACTTCTTGTCAGCGTATCGTCGGTCGTTGAGCCTCTCACTCTCAACCTCCTCCTCCGTCATTAAGCTCAAAAGAGCCGCCTTGCGCTTGTTAACCGCCTGCAGCAGGAACCTGTACAAGAGATAGCCGACCAATGCCACGGCGAGAAAACCCAACGTGACGTAGAAGGGGATCCTGTAGTCGGGACGGTACCGCTGCCTGTAGAGCTGTGCACCGACAACACCACCCAAGTTGCCAAAGCCATTGACGCCGAGGACGAGGGCACGCTTGCCGGGTTCGGGGGTGTTGCCGCTGAGCCATGCCATGGTGAGAGGAGCGGAGATGTAGACACCGGAGAGCAGGACGCAGAGGGAGATGTACTGTCCGACCGAGGAGGAAACAGTAACGGCGGGGATGAGACCGATAACGGCAATGAGGATGCCGATGACGATGTGGTAGCCGCGCTCCTTGAAGTGATCGGAGCTGAGTGCGAAAGCGTAGAGGCCGAGGGCACCGCAGACAAAGGGAGGAACCGTCATCTGGGGAAAGACAGTTAGCTCGTTGTCATACATCAAAAGGAGGGAGATGAACTTACCAAGTTGGCGAGAATAGACTCATAGCCCAGTCCCTGAACAACAAGAGGCAAGAAGACAGAGAACGCACTGCTAGGAACACTCGCGCAGATGTTGAGCACCAGTACAGTCCACAGCTTCCAGTCCTTCAGGGTCTCGATAAAGTCCCTCTTGCTCAGGCGGTTCTTCTCAATGCCGTCCTCACCGTATTCATGCTCCACATAAGCGGCAGTGTCCTGCTTCATCCGCTCAACGGCGAGGGCACGCTCATCAGGACTGAGGAACCATGCTGAGCCGGGACCGTTGGGGAGCCATAGCCATGCGACGGCGGCAAAGAAGCAGGTGAGGGCACCCTCGATGATGAAAAGATACTGCCAATTCTTCAGATGTCCATTCTTGAGGTGGAAGATGCCGTACGCTAGAAAGGGTGAGTATAGATAAGGGGGCTGTGATACGAGGAGGAACGCACAAATGGATCCGGAAAAGGCACCAGCAATGGCATATTGTCCGTAAAATAGAGCAAGTCTGACACAAAAGTCGTATCGAGGATAGAAAAACGACAAGTAGGCTACTGCAGTGGGATAGAATCCTGCCTCAAAAGCCCCGATAAGCAAGCGCGTGGCGATGAGTGCCCCTGAAATCGAGTCAGCATACGAGGAACAGCCACACCCAATCCGAAGAAAACGTGGGAGAAAAGAGATACATACCACGGCCTTTGATGAACGCCTGTCCGACTGTAACAGTGCCCCAGCCAAACTATCAAGCCAGTCAGCATCCAATTGGTAATCGCCGATCTTTGCAGCTTCCTTCATCAGCTTACCATGAGGATCGGGATCCAATGCTTTGCTCCGATATATCGGCCCACTGCCGCAGAAACAGGTTGTAGGACGACAAACGTCACAAAGAAGAGCGAGACTGCTTCGTTGAGATCATCGGGTTTGGCACCGATGTCAGTGGTGAAGCCTAAGTGTTGTTAGGACCAGTTCGACTTGGAAGATGAGGTATTGCCGGTATATACCTTGAGTTTCAGCATTGCCAACATTTCCACGATCGAGACCGTTGAACAAGTAGAGTAGAGATAGTAAAGGAAGCAGAGCTACATCTAGCTTCTGGTTCAGAGCCTTGCTTCGTGCTGCGGCATCCTCATGCGAAGGGGTGTTGCCATGACCGGGAAGAGTCTTGTTCGCCCGAGGAACATGTTGGTCGGCCATTGTTGTTGCTATATGCTGCAGTTTGCAGTGTAAAGATGTCGTAAAGAACCAAGTCAAGGTGAATCTTGTTGAACTCTGTAGATTGTAGAACGAAGCTCCTGAGAAAAGATTCCTCGAACTGCAGCGAGGCATGAGCCGTCTCTTATCCTCCAAATCTCGACCTGGTACGTCGTCTGGTAACCGTTTCATACAAGCAGGCATCGCCCAGAAAGTCGAGATCGTGTATTTGCCTAGACTACCCAGTCCGAGGATTTCTGGGGTGTCAGTCCAATGAAAGTCACACTCCCTCAGCCTCTCCCCCCCCCGTATTCTGGTCAGCGCGGGACTGATGCCGCTGTCATATCACACGTTTGTCAGTATCGTATGTAAGTTAGCCGTCCCGTCTAGTGTGACCTGTCAGTAGGAAGAAGAATCTGACGGCAGACCAGGTTCTCGGGAATGTGGCTGTCGAACACATCCGAACAGGCAGATGCTGGGACGCCACTGGGGTCCAATCTTGGCCATGGCCGCCCAGATGCTCGGGACGTGGGTGGTGTACCCCCCCTGGAATTTCAGCCTGTGCGAGGCATATTCCGACTAGAGATGGACCGTTTGACTGCTTTGAGCGTATCATTGAGCTCGGAGGCTCTGGGGACCCAGTCGAGATTCGGGGGCTAGAAACTGGGTCATCCCGAGCCGCAGCATGGGACGCCCGTTTCCATGGAATTAATCCGCAGGCCGGCACCCACCATTACAGAAGTCCTAAACAAGGAATTCGATCCTTCAACTCTGATTCCGGACAAATCATATTGCTTATGTGTGATCTCGCAAAACCGCTGTCATCTTTAGGGCTGTAAGGCTGACATGTACCCCGGAATTCCCTCCCCTCTGCCTGCTTAGGTGTGACATCCCTGGCGTCCCACTTGGGACATCGTCCACTTTGTCCTCGCTTGTGGACAAGCCTTGGCCCCCGGAGAACAGGGTTATTCTCGAATTTTCTCTTGGAACAGGTGCTAGAGCTGAAGACCAAAGGCACCTTCATTCGCCAGATCACCACGCTAGAACACAAAGCCCGGGCCAGGGAGTGACTGATGAGTCTCATCATCACTGCAGCCATCAGCGGTGATTTCCCATTCTAGCTCCTTGGCTGCTGCAAACCTGCGAACCTTGATACCAAAGTTCTTGAGGCGGAGAGGGGAAGATCAACAGGCAGGTGTCAGAAACCGCTCCACGAACAAGGTGATCCCGTAAGCTTCACGTTCGGTCTGCAGTGATGGTCAGACGCGGATGAAGCCGTCGAACGCATTTATCTTGATCACAATTGGCGGAATGAGATGTGATTCTGCAGAACGGCCGAGGTAAGTGACCTGAATCAATGAATTGGGGGCCACTCGGGGTCGACTCGGACTCAAAGATCGGTGAAGAACTGATCCGCTCGCTTGTGAACCTCCCCCGCCCATTCAGAAATCCCCTCAGAAGTGGAAATCCCGTCTTCCGTGACGTAGTGATCGATGAGGCTCGCGGGTATCCATTCGAAATAGATATTTTTCACGTCAATGTGGGTGTTGTTTGGGCCTTTGGTTGTCGACGGCGTGAGCCCATCCCATGCTTGCGTAACTTCGCGTGGATCATTCTCCTCTTGACCAGGCGGGTTGAACGGGAGTACCTTTTCCTTCTCGGATAATACGACGATCTTGGACTTTGGAGAGACATGCTTCGTCGTCAAGACGGCAGGCAGCGAGCCCGTCTTGTTGCTAACATTGGCCGTCTCGTTGATCAGGTCCGCTCCGATTAACACGACATCGACGTCTTTGGCAGCAACGCTGACGCTTGCGTCGGTGTATATTACCAAGCGGGCATTGACCTTGTTTTCTTCGACAAACGAGCCAATTGCGCTCGCCATCTTGACACCTTCAAAGAGCGGCCGGGATTCGAGGACACGCACCTCCACAGGCCGCGACGTCTTTGATAGCACCCGCGTAATGCCTGATGTAATGGTAGAACTGGACGAAAGGGTGAGAATTCTGAGTGGCTCGTCGCCTGAAATCGTTTGTTCTAAGAAGGTTTCGAGTGATGCGCTGACTTTGGAACCGGAGTCTTGTCGTTCTTGGGCATATTTCTCGAGTTCTGTAATCATGCCATCAACCGAGTCGGTCGAGACTGGACCTTGAGAAGGTAGCCGTTGCTCAATCAGTTTTAGGCTGGCGAGGACGACGTTGAGTATCGATGCCCCCATGCTCTCACGCCCATTCTTCCAAAGATGCCAACCGGCGAACCTGACATTCTTCCACCATTGGTCTCGGTCACCGGTGTCGAGTTGCCGAATCACCTTGATGAAGATGCCAAGTGCCTTAGAAGCTAATTGGCGTGCTCCACTCTCATGATCTGTTTGCAAAGCGGTTAGGCCCTCGGCTAGAGTCTTTCCAGCTGCTTCGCCTTGGTCAATGTTGAACCAGACCCTCCTCAAGCTCTCGAGGATCCGAGGAACACCTTGGAAGCCTTCCGACTCGTTGACTACAGCTGGGTCGAACCATTCGTAGCCCTCGTGCTCCCAGTCGATCTGGATACCGGCTTCCCCACGGCCGCCCTCCTTCTCGGACTTGAGAACGAACCCGAACGGATTGATGGTCCACTTTCTACCGATAGACTCATCGGCGAACGAAAATGGTTTGCCCTGCCTGAACAAGCGTAGCGAGTCGCTGGTGAGTGTTGTCTCTTCTTGGATCTCCCGCCATGCCGTTGCGAGAGGATTCTCATCCGTCTCTTCTACACTGCCAGAAACGCCGGCATACTTGTGCCTATAGCACCGTTAATCTTATTGCAGAAGGTCCATGTTAGTGCCATGAGCTTACTGATATGTGCTAACTTGGCCGCTACGCCGAAACAGGGCCACCTGCGGCTTCTTCGTCATATCATCTTCAGGAAACTTGAAGATGAAGCTGGACGCAACTGCTCGATGCTTGAGAGGTGCCATGTTTGTTGAAATGGTGCGGGTTCTTGGCAATGAGATAAACAATCTTGAAGTTCTGGAAACAATTGCTCGTGAGGTCATTGCGAATGAAAGTTTAGAACTGGAGATTGTCATGTCACATCTCATGAGGGAGGTGCCGTGGTGAGTTCCCGACGCCGCCGAATGCGGCCTGAGGCGCCTCATCACATGACATTGCCGTCAACAAGATGATATGTCAACTTTATGTTGCTTGATCTTCTTTGGAACATCAATTGACAAAATGAAGGCATGTGTGTAACCAAGGGCAAGATTCCCTAGCTCTCTGCCATTAGCGTGCTATTTAGAGGTGCCGTCAACACCACTTACACCAAATCGAGTCCACAACACGAGTAAGCTGAGCATCAACATCACCACCACAACTGGACCTGACACATCACCTGAACAGCAGAGCAAAAAGAAACAAGCAGCAAAAAAACATACAACAGCGGGGATTCGCTGGTCGTCACCGACCCAACTACTAATCCGCCCCTCACTGGCTTATCTATGGGAGAGCGGACGGGATCCCGAGTTCTCCAGTGGGTATGGTCGTATGTGCTAGGACCTCTCGTAAGATAGGATTATATCCTAGCATCATCTTATTATTTTCATCTCTGCCGAGAATCCCCTTGGTGTTCAACCTGTATTCAATTGGCCCAAGCTACAGAAACGCTGGTCTACCTATCAGCCCGCTCAATTGTGTTTAATGTTACTCACTCAAAGAAGACCTAGCGATGTGGACGTAAGCCTGTATCCGCCTCCCACTCTACCTGCCACAGTGAAACGGGATCAAGGATAGTGTTCTTCAGCTCCAGATGGGAAATGATGGATCGACATCGCGATCCCTGGGACTCCGATAGATCATCTGGTAGAGGGATGCTTTCGATAACGAGGTCCTGGTCTCCGCAATGGACTCTGGCGGCCTGTTCCTAATCTTCCCTCAACTCTCCCTGCCATAAATGGTCACCTCTTGCACGCTTCCAGTTTGTCCGCCATGTGATCTTGGGCTCAAAGTTTTTGGTTGAATAGCGAAACAAGGCGGCTGATGACGGGGTCGCTTTCCACAGCTCCATGGTCTTCAGTTGGGGCATACGTGATGCCGCAGCTGCTGCCGCACGGAGTGTCGTGACTAAGACGAACATCTCCCATGGCGCCTGAGGTTCCCTGAGAATTTCGCAATCGAAAGCCAGGCGACGAAGCTTGAACAAAGGAAGCTGATCGAGGGGACCCTGTCGGAGCATTGGAAAGAAATCCAATAGAAAACCCCAACCATCGGTATCTGGAGCAATAGATAGCTCTTTAAGCTCCGACATCAGTGCGAGTCTCCGCATCGACTCTGCACCTGCCATAGTACGAACTCGTGGCAAGCTGAAATCAGAGTCCGCGTCTTTGTAGATGTGAAGTCGCCTGAGCTTTGCTGGAAGGGCATCAATGACAGTTTCAGGGGAGCCTGTGATGCGGTGTTAGCCTTGAAAGGGCTGCTAGGGGTAGCTCAACTCACACAACCTCTCACTGAAGTAGTTGGAAGCTAGCCATCGCTCATCGCGGAACATCTGCAGGCGGGGGAAACTCTCCCGAAGAAGCTTGGCAAGGGCGCTGGAAGAAATGTTTCGGTAGAACTGCCGGCGAATCACGAGAGCCTTGACAATTTTGACCGTTGGGAGCACCTTTTCGGTATCAACAGGCTCACGCGATGTGTCACTCCAACGGAAGAGAGGCTTCCCAAAGTCGAACCTGAGAGGTTCCGTGCTACGGAACCTGTCCATTTCAGGTAGTTGGTATGCCCTGTATTGGTGAGAGACGACCTCTGGATATGTATCCTTGATGTACTTCACGGATAAATCGCGATGCTGTTTGTGAAACTCGCCCTTGTCAACCAAAGCTTCTCGAGTGATCCATGGGTACTTGTCATCCATTCTGAAGTCACGGTATCTGTGACGACAATCGCTTGGTGAATGTGCGCTTAGCTGTAATGTTATACCTCGGTGGTAACAGATGTGATTGCCTCTTGCAAGGATACCCAATAGTTTAGAAACGGCGCGTGTGAACCTGGCATTGTTTCTTTTCTGGGTTAGCTATCATCCGGCTTGATAGACAGGATAGAAGGCTGACTGATGAATGATGTGCCTGGGTTCACTGGTCTGACAATCCTTGCATGTGTACGGGGCAAGCTTGAGGCGAAGCCAGAGGTGTCGAATATAAAAGAGTCGGAATCCCTTTGATCCTTTGGTTACCAAGCTAAGCATGTTGAGATCGGGTTCGTCTATGACCAGCCGCCGAAAGAAGATGGGCTCAAAGAAGTCCCGCCATTGCTGCGATACGGTGCAAAATCCTGGACGGTCTTTTTTGTCGCTGTCCTCAAGGAGGATCGTAAAGATCGTGGAGCGAAGCCAATTGGGGAGCGATTCCCACGGCATGGTGCTATGGATGCTGGTAACGATAGTGGATGTAGAGTGATGAGTGTTGAATGTGACGAAGAGAGAAGTGACAGACTCATGTTAGGTAGGTAGCCAGCCGAAATGGAGGCGTATGAGAGGGAAGGAGCCATACGCGGGCTTCTGCTCTTCTAGTCGTGCCAACCTCACTCCATTGTGCCTGCGAATTGCACCCCGACAACCACGGACCCAATACCCAATACAGGTTGCCTTAGTTTTTCGATCCGTGTTTTGTACCTGGGTATTTTCTTCGCTATCAAGTACCTAATCAATAATCCCATCGGAGGGGGATGATGACGAGGACTTTATGGTTGGCATGCTGGATGACTGTATGATAGCGAATACCTGATTGCTAGTATTCGGAGTATTGTGAGGATGCAAGATGCGGGAGCGTAAGAACCCTGCTTCGGGAATCTCCAGAAGCCAGGCTCGTCCCCCCAGAGCCAAATCAGCCTTGAATCCATGGAATTTATCCACGTTCAGTTCTATTGGATGCTAGCAACTGCGGCGTCAGCTTTGCATCCTTCCTGTGTACTTGGCACAATCAGCAAGCTGACGCTCAGATGAACGATTGATCGAGATAAGCAGTTGAAACTCCTGTATAGCTTCTGGTTCACGCAGGAAAATTGATAAGTTAATTGGCTCTTGTGGCAAACAAAACGCAATCCCCCTTTGCCGCCTCATCTTTTGCGGCTCAGTAGAGGCTGAGTTTTGCGATATACGAGATCAAATCCAGGGTCTACACGTTGAAACCCACCCCCACACTTGATGACGCAACCACGTCACAGCCAACGCCCAAAAGATCCAAGCAGGGAAGCTCAGCTTTGATCCTTTTAACTTCAACTCTCGTCCTTTTGTCTCGTTAAATTCCCATCTCCTCTACTTCAATCGCATTCCAAGCTTATCCCAAACGAACAAGTACGCAATTATCATACCCCAAGACAAGCTCTTGAAGCTATACCGTTGCTAATGCTGATCCACCTGTAGATCCACCCCAAACTCTCCCTCAGCGACCGACTGTCAACACCAACACATATCCAAAATGGCTTGCGGCACCTCCTCTCTCGTCAACCGAAACGGCCCTGGTAGCGCCGCTACCTCCATCGCCGAGTCTATCATCAAGCCTGCCGAGGCTACGGGCACCAAGACAAAGTGCATCGAGTGCGGTGACTACGAATGCTGCTGTATCCCCTGCACCATTCTGTAAGGGGTATTTATCAGTGACACGATCAAAACACGACATGGAGCTTGAAAGGGGGTTTGGGCGCGTTGTTTGGGCATTGAAGCACATTACGTTCTTGCAATTTGATGCTGCGTATTTTCGCGTAGCTTCAGCGTATATATATCCAATGGACGACTGAGAAACATTTCATGATCAATTCGTTACTTATCCAAGCTCTCTGGCTTGTTGTTTGTTTGCGCCCTCGTCAGGGTGGTGCTTTGTTGTTGCTGTGATCTCACAACCTGACGGCACGCCTATACTGAATAATGCATTGCCACCGTCCGGGTCAATCCCTTCGAGCTTCGTGACTCCTTTGAGACTCCTTCTTCTCTCCCATTGATATTTCTGAATTCCCCGATTGGTTCGTCTGATGCTGGTTTGCATCCAGACCGCCTCGTAGCGTTGACCCGGTTCTCGGTGATGAGAACTGCTGACAGGACTCTCAGGAGTTTCTGGACTGTGCCCCTGAAGGCAAATTTGAGCGGTTGTGAAGTCGCACGCGTATTCTCGCGCGTGGAGGTTGCGGAGCGTGTCTTCTCGTCTAGGTAAACATCGCGTCCGTGGCAGCCCACACATCGGCATCTCTCTGCGCCGCCAGCGCAGCATAATCCTCTTCTTCTTCCGCCTGCCCAAGTGGCTTCGGCACGTTAGGCACACTCAAGCTCCCTAGGCCATCGAGCACGCGGCGGGCCTTATCCACCTGCGTCCTTATGGCCATGGTCTCGGTGCGCGTGCGGTCCAGGTGCTCCTGCATAAGGGCAATGACTGATTCGCGCGCCTGGTGTGGTCGGTACTCGTTGAGGATGTGGTGAAAGTTGATGAACAGGGTCCGGAGATCCTGAACTTTGGCTTCGGCTTGCTCTGGGTTTTGTGCCAGCGTGCCGGTGAGCTCCAGAAAGTTGAGCAGTAGTGACTTGGCCAGGCGCTTCAGCTCAAAAGCGCGGTCAAAGTGCTTCACATCCTTGGAATCTGATGGAGTGGTTGAGGGGAGGTTGGTGATTCCTTGTTCCTCGAGAGTGGGGAGCTTGTCATCCAGCTGTGAAGTAATGCATCAGCGTGTCACTCTGTAAGACTACCTATCCGTTGAACTTGACTCCTTACCATGTACTGATCGCCAAATACCCGCCAGCGTCCATCGGCTGGCTCAGCTGGCGGTTGGAGGTTGATGAGATCCTCAGGCACATCGGGGACGCGCACCGTCAATGGCTCTCCTTCATGCTGACCGAGGTGCGCTGTTCTCAACGCTTCAATCCGAGACAACCTTTCAGGCGTGAAGTCCTTCCAGAACGGCGGAGGATTAGGAAACGTCGACGAGAGCGAATGCGGCTCTTGCTGTTCGGCCATCTTTCAGCCGAGGGCGACAAGGTCACCTCATAAGATTGTGTCAAAATGAAGCCGGAAAGGCAGGCGCGTGAACGAAGACGGCCTGATGACAATCTAAAACCGAGACAAAGGTCTGAGGTTCAGCCTCCGGCAACTCGCAAACGCAAAAAGGTCCCTTGAGTTTGGTGGGGGAGTGAGACTTTGGTGGGAGGATTGGAATCCACGTGGAATGAGACCAGAGACAGCTTTGACAAAGACGAGGTCAAAGCTTTTAATGCAACAAAAATCGAGGGTTCAACGGTACTACCCTCGGCGAGGTTAAATATCACTGCGAATCAGGCCCGTTGATTTGACGGTAATTAAAATGAAAGAGAGTTACTTTAGCTACAGCCTTCCAAGAGTTGCGAATCTCTTGAGCGAGGCTAATGTCGATTTGCGCCGGTTAATTGTCGGCGGTTGCTCACCTCACACCTCTCCTCTGTTTCCGTCTCGACCACCATCCACCGCAAGCGCCTCTTGTTCTTTAACACCAAACAACGTCATATGCATTCCTCCTCTTCTTTTCTTTTCTCTTTTTCTTCTTTTCCACTTATCAATCAAACAAGTCCCCCAAAAAGGGCCCCGTTCCTTTAACGCCACATCTAATTGGCCATTTGAACGGCCGCCTTCATACGCTCTGAGTGGCCTGCTTCAACTCGTCAACATCCCTCCACACCGCATCTCCTCACGCTCGAAGCATCTTTTCTCCTCCCAAACAACATCCATGTCCGACGTGCGATCCCTTCTGCGGCAGCAGCGAGCCGCTCGCCGCATCGAACATCCTTATGCTGCCTACTCGGACGCAGGCAAGCTGCTCTGCACGCTCTGCCATGAGCACATCAAGACCGAAACACTTTGGGACTCGCACGTCCGAAGTGAAGCGCACAAGACTCGTCTAATAAAGGCGCAAACAGCAGCACCGGTCGTGCCCCCCAACGATCAAGAAGGACAAAGACAGGTGGCGCAAAAACGGAAGCATGACGACGCTGAGGATGCTACTGCTGGAAACGGGGACGGGGACGTCGAGATGGAAGATGCTGTGCGGCGGAAACGAAGCAAAACTGATGCGGCCGAGTTGGAAGCGGACAAGGAGGCTAAGGACCATAACTTGACACCACCTCGGTTGGCTAGGAGGACATCAGCCACCCCGTCGCATGGTGTCGAGCTCCAGATCCCCTCACGGCCAGCAACTCCTGCCCATCACCGTGACGGCTCCTCTGCCTCTACCCCCGGAGGCCAACCTAATCTCAATCAACAACCTACCACAACCACCCTGCCATCGCGCCGTCCTAGTACTCTGGCGACCGATGATCGGCCAACCACGACATTGCCACAAGTGGACGAGTCAGAATGGGCAGCCTTCGAGGCCGATATCGCCGCTACAACTGCCCCCTACGATGAGGATGCAGTCATTTCCGCCCCAGCCATGACAGCTCAGGAAGCTGCCGATGCTGAAGCCCAGAAGGAGGAGGAAGCAGAGAAACGCCGCGCTCAAGCCGATGTCGACCTCGAAGACGAGAAGGAAGAGGCAACACGAGCCCTCGAGGAGGAGTTTGAGGAAATGGAAGAACTCGAGGCACGCGTAAGGCGTCTGAAAGAGAAGCGGGAGGCTCTGCGCAAACGAGGCGAGAGCTTCAGCCAAGAAGCTGCCGCGGCCAAGTCTACAGGATTGGGCAAAGAGAACCTACAAACTCCAGTGGTCGAAGAGAAGGAAGATGAAGAAGAGGAGGACGATGACGACGAAGATGATGACTGGGACGGCTTCAGATTCCGAGCCGCCTAGGATCGATAAACTCAAGCATGGACTCATTTAACAGATTCTAGCCCAACCAGAGGTCTCAAAGCCGCCCCCCCAAGGCCGGCACAGGGGAAGCTTGACAGGAGCCCCCAGTTCTGTACAATCAATCTAGCCCGCATAATGTACTATACAAACAACCATGTCATGCCATGCCATACGATAGGGCATGGGATATCCATGAGAACCGCCACCCTTGTCGCTGATACCGTTATGCTAAAAGAGTGAGAAGGGACCAGCCCTCAAGACTGATCAGGAACGAGCACAAACAATGCAAAACACACGGGAAAACAACCAGGCCTAGCCTACCAGTCCACAACTGCTGGCATGGAGCACCATATTACACGCTGTGCGCTGACCATTCACAGCATCAGCATCGCCATTGGCAACTTACTGGGCAATATTTCGACCCTCGCCGCGACTGATCCTCTCCCAGAACCTGCGCAATCGCCACACGCGCCCAATCCCCCGACTCTCCTCCCATCTTCGGACACCCTCTTGACGGACCCTGACTTCACGCCTCCACTTGGAAGCGATCCACTGCCGCAGCCCGTCTCTGATCCTCTCCTTCTCAATTGCCTTCTTCCTAGCTACGATCGCTGGCGCAACGTGCACAGGTACCATACCAGGAACGCATTCCTTTGGCAACACAGAGCGTTCAACCAAGGCAGCGGCAGAAGGCCTGGCTGCTAGGCGTCGCGACAGGCGAATTGAGACCAGGGAGCGAGCAAGTCGTCGCGAGACAATGGAGGTCTGTGTCATGAAGATGGAGCGAGCAATGAGGTCAGCCAGGGACGGGCGAGAAGGTGACCAGAGAAGAGCCGGAAGATCGGTACGGACTTGACGAAGCCGGTAATGATGCAGCACAGGTGCCCGAGATATGTCACGCAGGTGATGGTTTGTCTAGATCTCGGTCAGTCTGTGCTCATAGAGCCCCTGAGCTGTCATATTCTTCTCGATTCATCAACGCAGACATCGGAAACAAGTCACAAGTGGCTCAGGACGCTTGCTGACTTTGGACGGTCTATACTCACCCTAGACGCTGATAGAAGATCACTCACGTCCAGACACCCCATGATTTGGAAAAGTACCTCATTTGGCATGCTCTCCAGGCATGGGGGGTCGAGGACTGTCCGAACATTACCTCCGCTGCAACACTCACTTCCCTCAGCCTGGGTGACAAGGCCAGCGTTGCTATGCCAGGAGGCTGGGCAGGCTGCCTCTTGCGGGAGGCTGGGAATCATCGACATGGCTGCGGGTTGGGCATCAGCGACCACAGGAATCGCAGGGCTGAAGGGTTTCCCATCCTCGACCGGGACTAAGGAGCCAGGATCATCAGAAGGAGGTGACAAGAGCGACAGACGACGTGTCTGCGAGGTGAGTTGGTCGGACGATGTGGCAACAGGCTTCATGATGGATCAAAGACCTAGGCGCGGCAGGCGACGGAGGGCGCCGAGAGTGGGCGTGAACTCAAGGGGAGTGAGACCAAAAGACGAGGTTTCTTTTTCCTCCCTTATCCGAAAGAACCTGGATCTCGGAGGCCAATTTCGCAATAGCCTTGAGCATACGGGGAGGCGGAAGAACGCGGGCAAGGGGCGGGAAGAGACAGGCGTCAGGTAGGTGTCAGGAGGCCGTCACACGCACAGCTCGGTTGTGACTCCGAAGCGATGGCCGCGATGGCTGGCCCGTGGTTCTAGCAGACCACAATTTGGGTCAGTCAATGGTCCTTTGGTACCGCCGGAAAGACGACGAGGCAGGTGACCGGTGAGGAGGAGGTGGCGATGATCTGAAAAAACACGAGAAGAAACGCGGCGCGTGAGAGAAGAGGTCGCGAAAGGTGGTCTGGCTGGTCGCAAGGCCGGGACCCCCAATACCCGATGCGTGAGAAAGAGGCAACCGAAGAAGCGGTGGGGACGGCGTGAGAGGGAATTATCTAGTATCGGCACTATTGAGCATTGGCGAGCAGGCTAGAGTAGGAGTAAGAAATGTTGGGGCTCGAGGCGTGATCCCAGAGGCCGTCGCTGATGACGTGGAAAGGCTTTGGGATGGTGGATGAGCCTTGCGTTCTAAGCGCGCCGCGCGTCTCTTAGCCGTTCGAGCACGGAAACGCTCGGCAATCGTACAGATAAGAGGCGAGATTATGAGATTTCTAGAATAGAATTGATTGCATTCAAGCAATCCTCAAGATGAGGACAAAGGTGCTGGACAAGGGCGTTTTGCAAGGCAAAACGATCAAGTATGAGGTGATGAGGCTGTGAGATCGGTCGGCCCTGAAACTTGGAGTTGAGGGGAAGTCGAGGAAAGTGGGGGCGGTCGGCGGAGAGTGGACGATCAGATTAGACTAAAGTGGGGCCGAAGCGCTTCTGCTTCGACTAATGGCGGGCGCTTGCCAAGAAGCGCCTGCCGTCAATTGGTGGGAGACAGGGATGGCACCTGCCGCGATGCCTGTCTCAGAGTTCACGAGCAATCAGAGCAGGCAGGCACTTGATTGAACGAGAAGAAAAACCGTTGCAAGTACCGAATTGATGGCCACGTTAACTGGGATTTCGTTTAGTCAAATCCCGGGGTTTGAAGCTTTGATGAAACTTTTGACTTTTTGACAGTGCAGCTCAAACGTGCTTGACCCATGCTCCTGCTGTTCTGCTCGGAATCTCGGTGAGGCTTTGGGCCCGACCAATGGACTACCACCACCTCTGCTCACTCCTTCCTTGCGTGCCCGTCAAGAACCATTCTCACACACATGATTCTCGTACCTGCCCCAGCCGGCCATCTTTGAGGCCAGCGTTCCTTCCAGTGTTGGTTCCTCGCCCGCAAGCCCTGACCGACTCGTGACTGCTCATGTTAGCACACAGCCGTGAGGCAAAACAACAAAAATTTCACGATCAAAACATAAACATCACCATCCACGATCGCCATTCACCCGACAACGACAACAAAAACATCCACAGCCTCTCCTCCCGTGGGCTACCGCAGGCATCCACCCACCCACACCCGCAACCGCACGCATACATACATACATCCACATCCGCATTTCACGTGCATATGCTCATCACCGCCACCCGGAAGATCGAATCTGACGAACGAGCAAATGTCGTCTTTTCAGGCGCGCAGGAGCCGGCGCCATGCGTGGATCGACGACCCTGCTGCTGCTACTACTGCAACTCAACCTGCACGCCTGCGTCTTGGGCAGCTTTCTTCCACCGTGGTCGACGAGCCTGGGGCTGTCGTCTCTCTTTACTCCTCGTCGCTCAACCATGCCGATGCAACGTGCGGTTCCTTGCTGTCTTGAGCTTGCACTGACGTAGCCATACTTTTCCTTTCTCGTGCAGCTCCTCCGCAATCAACGTACAGTACCCGCTTTAGCGGTCGAGGTGCATCTGCACCCGCTTCCGCCCATGCGTATCGATACATCGCCAGATGAGCAGAGTGAGCAACCTGCCGCACGCCTTTGATCACATCACATCGCATATATAGCTTTGTCGGGTTTCTTCGCCGAACTCCCGTTGCCATCGTCTTTTACCTTCACGCCCTTTCTCTGACGTGGAAATGAATCCACCCGACTTCTGCGGCCGTTTCTCCAGACCTTGACAGTCAGAACCAGGGCTCTAGACCCCAGGTGCTATCGACTGGCGGGTCCCATATGCATTCAGTGCTTTCATCACATCACAAAGTGGTCGATAACCATGTTGATTTCCACTTCATCGCCGCTTGGCTTTGCATTGTCTCGCCTGGTTTTCATCGGGCTTCACCTCCGCCTCATTCAAGGGCGTTCAAGCTCGTTTCGTCTGGTGCGGCTCGTCCTCCAGGGAAGATGTCGGCCTAACCTATCTTGGGCGACTCCCCATGGCTTGATACCGAAGTCGTGGAGGACCAGCAATTTCAATGTGCATCCGGCTGGCGACAGCCTGCTGATCAGCACTGACAGCGCACTCCGCTGCACGGCCGTTGGACTCTTCATATCTCTCGGCACCCTGATTCAATGGATCGACCGAGTTGCCCGCCATTACCATCACCGGTCAACCACGCCTTAGACCAGATGTACCAAGATGGCATCTAAGTGATGATAGACCTGCTACCAGGGCTTCAGCCTTCAGGCTTTCACCAGGCTCCATATCTCCACTCCACCCTGACACCCAGGCGCAAGCGCATTGCCAGTCTTGATGGTGCCGTGAAACAGTACCATGGCACGATATGCCAGCACCTCACAGAACCTTGTTGCTGTGCTGTTTTTTTCAATTCATCGCCCCTCCCGTCAATCATGCTATCTCAATGTCTTCGCAGCAAGCATCCGCCATGTTGGCTAGGAAAAAAGGATGGTTGCACAGCTTCTCCAGCTGCCACGGCCCGCGTTTCTCAACTGGCTTTGTCGCATCTGCCATCAAGTTTGTGGTGTGGCCGCTTCGCCAGATCCAACCCGTCGTCTGTTGTTCACCTGCTTCACATTTCGCGCCGTCGCAAGAGCTTGGCTTCCTGGGATGGCCACGCTTTCTGACCCTGGCCCCCAACCAATCACTGCCTTGAAGAACTGCCCATGCGGCGACAATGGAAACACGTCTGCCGCACGGGAAGACCCAGCCTCAAGCCGCTGCCCGCGCCTTTAGCCCCTGGCCCCCGTTCCATGTCAGTTGTCTCCCCCACACGGCTGCGACGTTGCTATTCGACAGCCTTCTTCGAATTCCTCCGCGACGAGCACGGGAACGGAGACTGTCTGGAGCTACGTAATGAAGCTAGAGCTAGAAGTGGGCCAAGCGACGTTGCGCCTGATGGCGCCGTCGACTTCGCCAGTCCCGACCGCGCGCTTCAAGGCTGAGCAAAGGGGGTTCTGAGCTTGAGAGACTTGACTGTGCACCAATTGTCAATCCCCAGTTTCTCGTAGGCTCGGAAAAGAGATCTGATTTCTCCATTGGCCCCAGGTACGATCGGACACTCCCGCCCCGTTTCTTGCGAACAGGCTCCATGCAGCGTTTTCCAGACACATGATTTGCAGCAACCCAGGCGTTCGGTTCGATTTTGAGCCCGCCAGACTTGGTCGATGCTGGGGTCCGAGGCTCATTGGGCGATTTTGGATTGCGGAATTTTCCTGGCCCATCTCCATCCGGCCGTAGCGCAGCCTCTGCGCCGCAACGGCCTGTACGTGCTTCGTCATGTACGCACATGGTTGCAAGGCCTGACCTGGCGCCATGTCGTTGCAATTGAGCCGCGCTGTTACTTCCCGAGCCCCCAACAGCGTGTTTTCCCTCAACAATGGTCGGCAAGGACCGCGGCTACCGTTTGTACCTTACCCCCGAAGCTGCGTCTGGTTCAAGGCGTCGGCCCTTTGTCAACCCTCTCAGTCAGAGCCAACCTCAAATCCGAATCTTGGAATGAATACCCAAAAGCGGGCCGGCCCGGCCGCTAAACCGGGCCGTTGTGGTCTTCCAGGCTGAGCGAGCAGGGAATGTGGATCAAGGCAAAGTCCTTGATGATCAATTGACGGCCTGTGTGCCTGCAAAGGCCGGCTGGATGTTTGACTTGGTTCATGGCCACCATGATAGTCTCAGGTCTCCAAGTTGGCCGCCCTTCCTTTCTCTGCCTTGCCTGTTCCGGATGATGAGCAGTTGTGAACCCTCCCTTCGCTGAAGCTTACAGTTTGTGCCTCAGTCAGTGCATCCACCCACCCACACACGCACAGTCAGTCACCCACACCCAATATACATGCGCGAGGGCACACTCTTTGGCATAACCCAGCCACCGGAGTCGAGAATCAGACATGTATCCCCGCCGAGCCCAACAATGCCCAACGCGTTGAGGACGAGAATCGGTTTCTCAATGCTCTGTTACCCTCGCCCCGCCCTCTCACTCTCGTGATCTCATGCGGGCTGTGAAGTCATCACGGACGACTTGAATTGCCCGAGACGCAGGCCTTTCCCGAAGCAGAAGGACAACTCAGCAGCTCCCGGAAGCTTCGTCACGTTTCCCCGTGAACGACCCTTTGTCGCAGCCATGTCCCATGTTCGGGGTGTCTGGAACTGCCTGCCGATGGCAGTGGTTGCTGCTACCCGTACTCACTACCAGATCAGGTGAACCCCTTGCCATTGGTGGTGGACTTGAGGGCGATAGAGCTCATCATTGCGACATTGAAAAGTCTGTTTCCCCGCCTAGCGTACAGCTGCGGCGAACTGAGATCGTGACAAGTCACTTGGAGATCTCGAGGCGTCATGACCAAGTACGCAGACCTGGATGAGATTACAGCCGTGATGGCTATTCCCCATCAGTGCCCTGCGGAGAGGAGGCCCGCTTATGCTGGCGGGCAGTGACGAAGGCTGCACCCGACATCGTGCGAGTATGAGACCGGGTTCACCTTTCGATCATTGACACCGACATCTAGAGATTGATGTGTTCAATGCCTCGGCGGCTTGAACGGCCCCCAACGGGAAGCTCACGGCGTATTCGACGGCTTCGATGTGATACTATGCTCGCTTTGCATGGTCACTCAACCATTGTTGCCTTGGAACGAGGCGTACATCATGCTTAGGCAGATATTCTGGGGGGAACCACTCTGAAGTGAGGCGGTAGGGGATGGTTGGAGTATATCAACGGCAGGAGAGTCGCAGCAGGACCCATGGAGCAGCGAAGCCGCACAGTGCTCTGCCTTCTGAGGCAATGATGATATGCAATGACCCGGCTGCAGTGATAGCCAGAGGGGGCATGCCACGTTGTGCATTCCGTGTGCCTGGCGCAGCCCGGCATGGTTCTGGAATTGCTTTTGAACCGTGGACAATGGTGTTCAACAAAGGCCCCCCTCCCCCCTGGAATGACCAACGACTCAGTGGCGAGACGGAACTTTGGTTGATTCATGTGAGTCGGCAGCCATGCACGAAAACCATGCAAACTCCCCTATTCTTATCTGTTGCTGCCGCAGCAAGGCCTTGCAGCGAGATGCAAGTCTAGGCCGGCTGAGTTACTTTTCTCAGCTCAAGCCCTTGGTGCTTCAGTCCGGCCGCCTGGCCGCCAAGAGAATCTGTCGGGCTGAGAGAAGTCGACGCTAATGCATGAACACTTTGGAGAAAAGCCCGGCAAAGGATAGTTGCCTTGTCATCAGGGGCAGGTGATGAGGAGGCTTAACCTCCTCCTGGAAGCTCTCTTCTACCCCTGGTGGTGATTGAGTGAGCTGGCACCCACCGGGAGGGCTAGGCCGTTGGTGTCGCCAGCAACAGAAGCAAGCCGCATGCCCAGGCGACTGTGAGGGTGCAATATCCGAGATGGTGGATGTTGGGCAACAGCGGAAGCAATCGGCCGAGACAGGACGATGAGGTCTTGTCAGACAGAAAACGGCTGGCAGGGATGGCAAGGCGAGGGGGCATGGGAGAGAGGGGACGACCTCGTCTGGAGGCAGCTTTCAGCCCCCAGTGGCAAGATACTTGAAAGTTTTCTCCCGGCCTCGATCCATCAGAGTCGGCGAGACAAGATGCACGAGAGCTCGGACGAGAGATGGCTGCCTCAACCCGAACCGGGAAGCCGACAGCATTGGAGACATGGCTCGTCGTAGAAGCGGCACGGCATGGTGCTGTAGAAAGCAGGATCTGTGCTGTGATGTGCTGTAGACAAGGGAAAAGCGAGTCAAATGGTAGAGCATGAACTGCAGCCACTCTGTCGATGTGCTCCGTTGAGGGCGCCGTTGGCATCAAGCTCGAGCCCGCCGAGCCCGTGAGGCCTTGACGCACGGAGGAGGATCAAAGCAGCGAACCAGAGCCCTTGGTTTCACCGAAATCGACAACCGTCGAGATTGCAAGCGGTCAGGATCCCCTTGTTCCCTGACACTTGTCCGCCCTCGGGACGAACCATGAGGCCCCACAGCGGCCGCAGATCGAGACACCCCCTTATGTAGGCTCGACTGGGACAAGTCCTGGAGACGACGCGGCCGAGGCCAGGCCCGCAGCGGGAAAGACACAGGGCTCCCTGGCAATAACATGGCCGTATATGTGACCCGGCAGTCCCAAGACTGGGTGGCCAGAGACGGACGCGTTATGGAAGAAGTGTGGAATGTTGACAGAACAGGAGCCGTTGAGGGGAGTGGGCGGAGGAATGTCCAAGCAGCAAACAGCAAGCAGCAATTGATTCGGGGAAGGGAGACGCTGAAGGTCGGAATCAGCTTCTTGGTGACTATGTTTGAGGTCCTGCGAGGGAGATGGCGCAAAGAGATATCTGCTTGCCAGGTACGTACGTTAGGTATGGGAACGACAACAGAGGCTGACGGGGAGGCGACCGGGAGCACAGCAAGGGAAGACGCACACGCATACACACATACTCACTCACATCACATACACACGCCCCCGCGGGTTTGTCCAAGTTTGTTTGTCCCCTTCGTCAGCCCTGGTTTCCTTGTTCTCCTCTGCAGCTCTAGCATTACCGTGAAGTGCTGTACACACAACTACTGCAGTGGCATCTCGCGGTGTGGGGATGCCCCGTCCCTCTCCCCTGCTGCTGCTGTTGCTGTCGTTGCTGATACTGCTAGGGGGGTGTGTGTCGTATCTCGAGCCATGATCAACGTGGCAAGCGACCACCGGGCCTCTTCTGCCATGCTGCTAGGACAGAGACTGGGTCTGACTAGGTCAAGGCCCCTCCTCCTTCTAGATCAGGTTGACGGACGCTGGTGACGTTGACGGGAGAGGTAGCAGCAAAACAAGCCAAGGAGAAACGAGGCTTGAGGTCAGAGTTCCCAAAGAGGGAAACAACATATGCGGAGACAACAAGCTACAAGAGAGTGGTTGTTGGACAGGTCCGAGGTCAATCAATGGCCATGCTGCAGGGACTTGTGAGAAATACACCTGCACTCTTTTGAGGTTGCTGCGGCGCCACACCAGGCCCCAGGAACGAAGCAATTCGAGGCTAGACCCTTCGGATAGTCGGGGTATGTCGCATGGCAGCGGCACGAGGAAAAAGATGGAGTACCAAGCAGATGGCTGGGCTGGGCTGGGGGGGGGGGAGAGGGGGTGTGTAAGGCCCTTTTTTGGTGGAGGATGGTGATGCGATGGGGAGGGACGGCCATATGGGGCATCAAGTACGGGTACCCAATCGACGCAACCAAGCAAGCCCTCTTTTATCCCGCAGGAACAACAGCAGCAGAAGAAGCAGCAGCAGCACCAGCACAAGCAGAAGCACGATGATGGATGGCCTCTAGTTGGCCCGAGTCGTGTCCAGGGGAGGAGGGAAAAAAGGCGATTGCTTGTTGGTTGTGCGGGAGTCCCACATGTGGATGTGGGATGGCATATACAGCACGACGATCGAATACACCGAGAGGTTCCTAGGTCGAACAAGTATAAGATAGCTACGGCGTCCCACGGTCCGGGGACAGGCACCCCATCTTCATCTCTCCCCAGATCAGGACCACAACTGGATCGCATCGACAAGGGAATACAGATTACCTAGCGACCAAGACTTGCAGTTGTCACGACAGACTACTCCCTTCTTTGAGACGACTCTTTGTGTACCACCACCAGGGCGAAGCAAGTCTACGACACGATTGCAACAAGTACCAACGACATTGGTTGCAAACACATCCGTTCAACCCTCTTCTTTGTCGTTTGAACACAAACAAGCAACACAAACAAACCCACACGCGACCTTCAGCAACAGCCTGGTTTCAGGCCAACGCTCTTTTAAAACGATAGGGTGCTTCGCCAACTAGCAATACGTTACGTGAGGAACTAGTCGTGCTGGGCCTCTCAGAGTCTCGGAACCTGCTTCTCAACTTGACCGCAACTTTGTCTGCGCCATTGTATTGCTTGCAGGTAAGTCAAATAACACACGGCCTCGCCGGGTCAGGGTCATGCCTGATCATCACCAACCTCACCCCATACCCCTCACGCCCCTCTCTCTTGTCCTTACCGGGGTACGGTCTTGTATTACAGATGTCTTGCCCTCTAATAAGAGGCTCGGGGTGGATGGGATGATCCCGGGAGGTGAGACATGAAAGGGCAAGATGGTCTAAGCTGGGGAGAGAGGGATGCAGTGAAACAGGATAAGAATAGGAAGCTGAGGGGATGGGACGACTTGGAAAGAAGACGATGAGGGAGAGAGAGAGAAATAGAAAGAAAAGAAAGACCCGAGAGACGTCGGTGGCTAACCTACTGCTTCTAGGATTTCTCTTGACAGAGAAGAACTTGACTCTTTCATCGTCCTCCTCCCAAGGCTCGATCGTCATTGGACTCGGCTCGACTCGACTCGATACGGTTCGACTTTTACTCGGGACTTGACTCGAATCGACCACGGCTTCGCCTTCCGTCCTGTCCTGTCCTGTCTTGCAACTCGACTGTCCACCCTCGGTCAGTTCGCTCGCTACTGCCGGTCCTCCTCCTCCTACTCCTCCGCTTCCTCCTCTTGGGACCAGTTGCAGCTCGCTATCCTGCTTCCCCCATCCCGACAAGTCGCCACCGGGCACACCCGTCGATACCCAACCAGTCAGCAACCATGTGCTACTTTGAGCAAACCCGCTGGGCATGCGGCTACTGGCGCTGGGGCCATTTCCGACAGCAGTGCAACAAGGAGTACCGGATGGGCGAGACGTGCGGTCTCAAGCTTGTCTACGAGACCAAGACGGAGCCCGATGTGTGTAAGCTCTGTCATGACACGGAGAAGAAGCAGCGCCGGTACGACAAGATGTACCGGGACGTCCAGCGCTGGCAGCGCGAGGGCAACCGAAGTGCCACCATTGAGCGGACGTGCGGCGAGATGCATGATGTGATGGGCCAGATCTATCGGATGAGAGAGGAGCACGATCACAGGCTACAATCTCTAGGCCAGGTACGTATGAAACATGTTCATTTCCTTACCTTTTTGTCCTGCTTGAGCAAGGAAGAGGTCCCCCAGGAGGGCAAGACAAGTGAGAGACGGACGGGAAAGACAGCAAAGAAAAGGAAAAGGCAGAGGGGAAAAAGAGACGAAAACAAAAGAAGAAAAAAAAAGAGGGACGGGAAGGCAAAAAAGGGGTGTGAGGGGCGTGTGCGTGCGGTGGTAATGGATGTGTTGCATGCATACCGTAGACTTGGTGTGGGCGTGGCCATTGTCTTGGGCGTGGGCTTGGACAAGAGAGGATCGAGAAACGAAACCAGAGAGGGCTGACTGGCTAACCATGAATTGCAGTGACGAGACTCTAAAGCGGCCCGAACGAATCAGTAATTCTCAGAGACGACGACGGACGATACCGAAAAGCAGGTGAAGGGACTGGACTGGACAGTCCAGGCTTGGTTGGAGCAGAGGCGGCTCACAGCACGCAACGGACGTTTTCCGAGTCACGGAGCGCATGTGTCGCAAAGCAAGAGGCAATAACGATGATGAACATGAACCCCAGAAGCACCAAAAGAGAGTTGTACAAGAAGGGGGGGATCGACAAGGGAAAAAAGGAACCAAGAGGATAAAGGCGGTGGGAACTGGCTGCTACGTGGACATGACAAGACAGACGACGGGGGCATTTTTCTCTCTTTTTTATTCCCCCTCTTCCCCTCTCGGTTCATCTGACGGGATCCATCATTTCTTTTCTACGTTTCTTATTTGTTTTCTTTTCTTTTACCATTCTGGCGGCGGACTTTTTATTTTGTTTCACGACTATTATGAGGGAGGGTCCAAGTAGACAAGACCCAGAAAGAGATGATTGTCTTAAGAGCAAGGCAAGGCAAAGAAACAAGGACGGGAATGGGCACTTTTTTGTGGGATGGGTCCCCCCAAGGCGGGAACCTGGTTTACGTTGCTCAGCTATATCCATGGGTATGCGAAGAGCAGAGCAGAGAAGGGCGGAGGAAGAAGGAGGACCAGGAGGAATAGGTTACTTTTCAAAGTGTGTTGTTTCTTCCATAGGCAAGGATGTTACTACACTTCCACCAACCCCTTTTTAAACTTATTCTATTCTCTCTCAGAAAAGAGAAAAAAAAAGAAAACACACACACACACAAACCCCCCAAAGACGGGAGGAGGATCATCATCATTAAAAAGTCTGTCCTTTGTTCCGTTCCGTCACCTACCCCCCCTGCCCTAAGCCCGAGCCCCGAATCGTGGAAGATGCAGATGATGGAGGGTGGCAGTGCCGTGCTTGTGCATGGGCAGGGGGTGGTGTGTGGGCCTCGAAGATGAGGGAAAGGAAGAATGAAGGAAGGAAGACGGAGCCTGATGAATAGGGCCTCTCACTTGGTCTCTTTTTTGCTGGCAATCGGGGAACAACAAGACGCCGGCGCTCATCATGACGGCGGGTCCTTGTTTGGCCGGGGGGTCACAAGCAAGGAAGCAAGCAAGTATCACGAGTGAGGGGGAGGGGAAGAATATGTAGACAAGCATCATAATCTGTGAAATGGGAACAGCTTCCGAACATAATGAGGAGACAAGAGAAAACCATCCAGCCGAGGTAGGGAGCACGACAGGCAAAGCAAGGTCAAGATGGCATGCAGTCGGGATATGTCTCCAAGGCACACATCGAATAAGAAGACGGCCAACTTGGAACGACCGAGCCTGTCGTGTCTTTTTTTCCCTCAGGTTGCGCAGGGCCCTGAACCTTGGGAAGAAAGCACCATTTCCCGCCTGTCTATTATGCGGAGTAACCTCATTTCGACACACACACACACACACACACAAAAAGAAGGCACGCACACATGCCCTGGCTTATCGGGGCTTTCCAAGGGAGGGAGGGGCTTTCTCCTACAGTAGCCCAAAGGCAAGCCCTTGGCTGACGAATGAGGGGAGCAAAGGCGTGCGACGATGCAGGTGCGGAAGCACAATGCCAGGCCAGGCAGTGGACGCTGGGCCGCCCACCATATCCTCAGTCGATCTGCTTTGTGTCTATTAGGCGTCGTTGAATGTGAGTCTCGGTCTAGGGGGGTGTATGTGTGGGTGGTGCTTCATCGCGGTGGGCCATAATGTCTGATATCGAAGGTTCGGAACGAGGATACGAAAGCAAGAACTGGAATCGACGGGCAGTAACAAGACGGCGATTAGCAGAGAGACACCACGTATCGTAGGGATCGGGAGCGGGGACAGAGTGGGAGCTGGAGTCGACGATCGTAGAGTCGGGAGGCGACGGGGTGAAGCAAGATCGAGAGTCTTCGAGTCGTGTCGTGTCGTTGTACGCCGGACCTCTCGACTCTTTTGAGTCGCATGCCCAAAGGGCAAAGTTGCCGATTGCAGCACGGCATCATCTCCCCAGAGAGAGTGAGAGAGCAGAGTGTAGCACAGCAGAACGCACCGTTGTGGCCTTGACCACAGTAGGGCACCCCCGGGCTGTGGCCCTCAATCTCCCCTGCGGTGCGGTCATGCCGTACGTACTGTACGCAAGCAAGACGGGGCAAGCAGCGAGGGGCGTGGGGAGGGGGAGGGGAAGCTTGCTTGGCCCAGCATGATGCAGCTGCAGCAGCTACCTAACGTTACCTGCTAGTAAGCTCCATGCTGCGTACATAGGTAATGTAGCGCACACTCTCTCGGGCAGAGCGAACAGCACCAGTAAGTAAGTCAGGTGTGCTGTGCGGCGACCCGGGACTATGAGTGAGGGTGAGAGGTGGGGAACAGGTCCGCCGTCAGGGCTCACAGAAAGCAGGCTGCTGCTGCTGGCTGGCTGGCTGGCTTGAAGATCCTGGGCAGCAGCCATTTTCGGTGCTGGGCGATTGCAGACTGCAGGATTGGACAGGACAGGGTTTCGGTCTCCATCGAAGTGTTCGAGAAGAGGCTGGGGGATGGACAACCACACGCGACGGGGTTGATCAAGGTCGTTGGTTGGTAGACAAAGAGCCAGTGAGTGAGCTATGTTGACGATAGTCGACGACGACTAGACGTTAAACCAAAGCAGGCCTGGTTGACCGAGCACGAATTTTGACCGCCGTCAATCTTTCTCTCCGTGGCCTCCTCAGAGTGGTCCCCTGCTCGTCCGCCCCGAGGCGCGCATCTAGTGCCCGTACTGTTCCTTGCTGGCAACTTTTCTCCTAGCCGTAGGTAGGTAGTATCGGGGAGCCTCTCGACGACGGCCCCTGGCCGAAGTCGAAGAAAAAAAACCCAAACCTGAGCCCTGTCTCGGACGGGCCCAGCCTCCCGTTGACGGGGTCCAGGGGCCCATCTCGCCGTGGGTGCGTGAGCAGCAAGCAAGACACTCCCCGTCCCTCCATCGAGATGGCATGGCTGGCATGGCGGTTCCCGACACCATGGCTCTCTCTACCCGAGGGAACGGGCAAGGCCCATGGCGACCGCACAGAGGCAGCGGCTTCCAGCCATTCATCCTTCCCAGATGGCTGTCCTAAACAGCGGCTTGCCCGTGGTAGTGGTAGCCCGCCCCCCATTCCCCCGTCCGTGGCCCCATGGATAGGTGGCCATGGTCCCCGTCCGCGTCCCCGTCCCCGTGGTGGCGGGCTAGAAGGGCCCTGGGCTCTGCCAGAGGATTCCCGAAGGCTTGGTACGTGGGCGGGATCTTGCTCACGGTTGACGAAAGGGATCCATCCAAAGCTCCCCAGTGGATGGAGCCCCATGCAAGCCGCCCATCAACGGTGCGAGCCGAAGCCGGAGAAAACCAATCTAAAACGAGGGCCGACGGCAAGCTAGAGCGACGGCCGCCATCCTCCTCGTCTCGATGCCCTGGTCTAGCGCCCTTTCACACCCCACTGACTGCCGGGCCACCTCAAGCCATGGTGAGCCAGTGCGAGGGGAGCGCACGTGTCTGATGCTTAATGGGTGCTGTCGCTTCTCGACAAAGTCACGCCTCCGAGGTGGGCTGCTGGGCACCGCCTCTAGCTCGCCGCTGGTGCTCGTCATGTGTGAGAATCTGCTGCAAAGACAAGAGGCCCATCCATCCATAGAGCATAGTGCGAACTGATGACGAGGGTTGGAGATTAGACCATGTAGGGTTCCCATGGTTGGGCCTGGTCCTGGTCCTGGTCCCGGTCCCAGCAGAAGCTCAACACCCAGGCGAGAGGGAAAATTGGAAAAAATTCTGTGAAATTCGATTGGTGTGTCTGTTTGTACAAGTCCACTTCCATGCCCACATCAATCAAAAGACAAAGATTGAAGGAAAAGTTTCAAGAAAGTAAAAATAAAAAAGAAAGGCCAAAAAAAAGAAAGGCCAAAAAAAAGAAAGGCCCCATGCATTCGTCCGTATGAAATGAACAAAGTGAGACCACCGCCCGCGATTTATGCAACAGCCGTTTTTGTTTGCCGAACAGGAGGGTTGCTTTGCGTTGATAGCGACCAATCATGTGCCGCGCTGAATTAATCGAGAGTCTTGGATAGGTAAGTAGGTAGGTAGGTAGGTAGGAAATGATGGTTGGTAAGGAAATGTCAAAGAGTTTGTCGTTTCTTTTCGTTGTCTTGTCGTCACGGCTTATCCGCATGTTCAAGGTAAGATGCCATCCCCAACCAGCCAGCATGGGTGTTTCCGGGCTAAGCCAGCCCCCCAACAAGGCTGGGATATCGGAGGTTTCGAAGATAAAGGTACGACGTGCATCGTCAGTTGTGTCTCGCATGGAAAAGGTGTACTCTGTATCCATGCCGCAGCTGTCGACAGAGCCCCCACATCCAGACACTGGCTTCTATGTTTCCTGGCAGAGCATCACTGTATGTGATGGCCAAGAGAAATATTATTTTTTACTGCATCGCCGCTGCAGCATCCGCAAAGGTTCCGACGAGAGGACCTTCATCGCTCTCGAGGGTCTTGATGCTGGCCGGTCCGTTCTTCTGCATCTCGATCGTCTCGTCTTCCGGTATCCAATCGACCTTGACGCCATTCGCGTTGGCGGGGCTTTCGCCCTGGTTGCTAAGTTTTGACACGAGGTGTTGGTATCGAGCGAGACGGGCACCTTGGCCGGCGTAGGCAAACGGCGTCGTCGTTCCACGGGGAGCGTTATCCTGCGGTGCTATGTCGAAGATGTCCACCATGTTGCTGCGCAAGACTCAGTCAGCATCACCAGTATCAACCCCTCCTTCCATCATCGCAAACGTACTTTGATGTCTTGGCAACTACTCGCTGAAGGGCCTCGTTTTCTCGCTGCGCTTCGAGTGTGTCGTTCTCGCCGTTCAGGGACTGGTCTCCGAAACTACCGTATTGTATGCCGTTGGCGTCATCGTAAAGAAGACGGTTCTCCTCTTCCTGGAGCAGGGTTAAGCGTTAGCTGACAGGCCTGTAGACGTCTTATCCATCAAACGCAGCCATGAAAAAGACGCAGAATCTCGCGGACCACGCACCTCGTCGTAGGCGTCTCCATTACGCCGTCCCAAACATGATGCGCAAGCTCCCATCGTTACGTGGTCGCGGGACCAAGTTTCGCATATCAAATCGCAGGCCAGTAAGAGTCCGTGTCCAATATCGCCGTGGGCAGTGTATTATCGCGAGGTGGTGAAACAAATAGCAAGCAAGAAATGAACGTAGAAGGTTGCACCTGTGTCGCACAAACCTCGTGACCTTGCGATGAGCTCTTGTCGTTTGCAGCTGTCGCGCCTGCCTCACGAGATTGCCTGGTGGGTCCCATCCATAGGAACCAAAGCGGCATCGGGTAAACCTCGGACCGCTCGCCATGTTACCAGTCTGCTGGGACGGGAAGGGGACAAAGCAAACATCAAACGAACTACGGCGTTGGGCCAAGAGAAAGACTTCAATCTTCGATTCGTCGGCATCGGGCGCCATCATGGACTTTATCGACATGGTGGGCACGTTGATCGAAGATCGAGATCCACACCATGATGCCTTAGGCTCAACCCCAGTTCACCATCCCTTGGTGCTCCTGGCTCCCTCAAGTTGAGTCCAGCTTCAGACACGCGCCCTTGACAAGGGAACTCATCATTGCTTGCCAAGTTGTCCAGGGCACCCTGAAAACTAACAATGTCTTTGTTCAAGATCCCTTGGAAAGGGTTTAGACTCATAACACAAAGAGTTAGTGCTTTTTGAACGACCCTTCGCTGGTAACTTGCTGCCCTTCACTGTCTTGCGTGTCTTGCTACTGTTGCCCCTCAAACCATCTCCACGACATAGTGCTCTCCGCTTGACAACGTCTCTTGGTCTTCTTCTTCTCAACCCTGAATCTCCTTTACAAGGGCACAATCAATTCTCCTCCTGTCTATTGCCAATGTCTCTTCACGATGGATAAACTCATTCATTCGTCGCCTCCTACTGGCGATCTTGCCTCCACACCTGGCAATATTGCGTCTTCAAGAGCTCTCCTTCACACGATAACCTCATCACCCTAGGTTCAAGTTGAACTTTTCGGAGGCAACCTGGTAGCTATAAGTATGCTTGACTCCTCTCGCTTCTTGGTTTGTCCTCACCATCCTCATCACTCCAACTCAACAATCCAATCCTCACTTCCTCTCCTCTTTCTAAGTCCCTCACTCTTGGACCAGTCTTCTCTACCATCAATCGCAACATTTACCTAATCCAAGCCTCAAACACCGCATCAAAATGGTTCGCTTTGCTCCCCTGACACTATTGGCCCTGACGCCTTTGGCTCAAGCACGCTTCGACTGGTTGCAGCCACGAGGAGCTGTCGATGAGTGCTCCTATACCGTCACCGTCACCGAACCAGCTAGACCTCAGAAGACTCTCACTGTCACCGATCCTCAGGGGGGTTCCTATCGGACCGTCACTGTCCAAGAGCCTGGCGAGTCTTACACAACCGTCACTGTCACACAGTACAACGAGCCTCGCACCAAGTTTGTCTACATCAGCCAGGGAGAAACACTCGACCCACCCAAGGAGACCATCACCATCACGCATCCCGGCAAGACCGTGACTGTGACACAGACTGAGAGCGAGGAATACGTCGTCACCAAGAAGATCAACGTTTATCCTAATGGCGCTGACTACCCTGACAACAACGACAATGGCAACTACTACCCGCCTGGCGCCAAGACTATCACGGTCACCAACGGCTACCCTGCTCCCAGTGCCGGCTACCCTGCTCCCAGTGCCGGCTACCCCGGCTACGAGGGAGGAGTCGTCACCAAGGTCATCGGCGGCAATGGTGAGAAGTACTACGATAACGCCCAAACGGTTACCGTTGTCAAAGATGGCGAGGTCAAGACCCTGACTTTCACGCATTTCAACTATAACACGGCCACCACCACCATCACTCAGCAGAATGGCGAGGTCAAGACTCTCACATTCACTCACGACTACGGCTACGGCAACAACAACAACAAGGTTGTCAAGACCATCACCCAGCAAAATGGCAAGGAGGAGGTCGTGACTGTCACTGGCGACTACAAGGTTGTTGAGACCATCACTGAGCAAGACGGCGAGGTGAAGACTGTGACTCTTCCCGGCTACGAGAACAAGGTCGTCAAGACAGTGACTCTGGAGGATGGCAACAAGAACAAGGTTGTGAAGACCATCACTGTCGAGGAGTCGATCGAGCGCGTCGTCACCAAGACCATCAAGGAGAGCGGCAAGGTCTACACCGTGATCGTCACACCCGAGCCTACCATTACCACCATCACCAAGGAGAACGGCAATTATGTCACCACTGTGGTTGAGGTTCCTTGCACCTACACGCTAACCGCTCCGGCCCAGTACGAGACTGCTACTGTGAAGGGCAACAGCTACAAGACCGTCACGCGAACGGCCACCTATGGAAGTGGATCAGAAGTTGAGATCATTGTCTATGACCCCAAGACTGGTTACTCTACCTGTGAGCGCAAGAAGGACGGCCAGCCTTGCCACTCTGGTTATGAGAACCCTGCCTACACCAACACCCGAGGTAGCAACAGCAGCCAGACCTCCATCGACGTCCCCAACTATACCAAGGTCCGACCTCACGACGATGACAACAACGCCGGCGTTTACGACCCTGAAGAGACTGACTGCGACGAGGCTGCCGTCTCCACCAGCATCGCAACTGTCTACAACACCGTGATCGTGACAGTGGGCGGTGAGCCAACCACCACCGCCACGCAGAGTGCGAAGCAGACCCTCGGCTACCGCGATCTGGAGAGCTCCAACAAGCGTCGCTCTGCCGTCTCTATCCAATGGTAGAGACTCTCTGATGATGAATCACGTTTTCCTTTGTACCAGTAAAAAAGGTGGGAATGTGTATAATGGAGGATTAATGCGGGAGATGGCCTCGGATAATAGTCATTGTACAGTCTAATGAGTACCTAATGTAGTAATCGTGTTTTCTTTAGTATTCAATTCAATATTTCAATCAATTTTCTGTATGCTTGAACTTGAGTATACATGATGTAGCTTGTGATCATGAAAACGATAGTCAACAGACGTTTACTACATTCTGAGCCTTAATCATTAACGAACACAACGACCGCATTCTTCTAACCTAGTATGACCATTACTATATTCTATATGTTTTACTTCATGCCCTACCCCGTCACTAACATTATCATTAATCCAATATCTTCCAAGTTCATTCGCCCGCTCAGTGTCTTGATCACACTCCTTTGTCGCTTACCCTACATGGAAGGTGATGCGATTTTCTGTGTTAACTTGATGGCTTTCAGAGATAGCGCTTTGGGATTTCCTACCTAATTAATTGAGGCTAGATCCTTTTTTGACCATCGTTTTAAATATTCTCATAACTAATTGTGGTTGTTCTTCCCACGGAGGTATAGGGAGAATGTCTGCACAGTGTGGTTTATCACAAAAAGCTCCAAGACAGTCTGCAAAATCACAGTGTGCGATAGCAGCGGTTCCGTTTTGCACAGTGTATCCTTATCATACCTTCATCTCAACCAACAACTCACATCACTAAACCTGTCACCTCAACCACGTGTCTTTGTTCCTGGCGTGCCTCTCATAACATGTGTTCGTCTGGTATGGAGATCAAACTATCGATACCAAATCGGGTAGTAAGACATTGTCTAGCACCCTGACAGCCCGGGGTCGCCGGGCTAGGCTTTGGATCCATCAAATCGCCGGGTAGTGAATGATCGATCGTTAGGAGCTCCTCGAAGCCTATCGACTTCGGGGGTCCAGTCTCGGCCCAATGGGGGGCTTATACGAGCGCCATGTTTGCTTGTTGGCGGCGCCATCTGGTGAGCGATCTTGGCCTGTCGCGGCTGACTGACGACAGGCGCAGTTTGACTGGCCGGAAGCATCTGCAAGGCACAACGACTTTGCTTTGGCGCAAGGGGAAGTGCCTGTCGCGAGGTATCCATTTACCGCGTTTGATGGAGCGGGTCAGTGTGAGTAAATACGGGAGGTTATGGAGCTCAACCCTGCTAATGCTTGTCTCAGCGATTCTAGAACTCAGTCTCTTTTTGAGACTTCAGTGGATCCTTTGTCTTCACAACCCGTGGCTTTTAACGTATCCGTCTCGCGCAACAAGACGCCTTCACCAGCCAGAGACCTCGCGCCCCGCCGTTACCAGGGATGAGTTATCAGTCTGCTTTTCCGAATCGGGTGCGAATGTCTCTGAGATGTCTCAACCAGATTGGATGGCTACCGCCCGGATCCCATTTGCCGATGTGTTTCGGCAGCTTGTCTCCCCTCTTTGTTTGGAGGGGGGATTCTTAGAATTGAGAAAGGGTGGATGTGAGAAGCAAACAAAAAGGATGGTGTCGCCTTTGAACACACAACATGACATCTGCGACATGGAACGGAACAGGACTGATACGATGCCCCAGTTAAGCTTGTTTGGAAACTCCCGGCCGAAGCTCAACGAGCTCCCCTGACCAGAATCGCCGTTGCCAGATCCGGCGAGACCCTGTTATTGTTCCCCGTGGCCAGACCTAACAAGGCCCTGACGCCGGACGCGCTTCAAACCCGCTCGACGTCCTAGGTCAGCAAGATCGAGGAGCCATGCTGTATGTGGCGGCGAGAACTGGACTCCCCGAAGCGATACCTTGATCCGTTGTGTTTGCCATCCTCATTGGGACAAGACCGTCGACTGGGATCGATCACCATTAGCCAAAGGCGTCACGGGCAAGCCCTCGAGTGTCAATGGCCGTGGAGATCCCCATTGACAGACCCTTTCTGTCTGTGCCTTGCAAATGCCAAGGATCGGAAGGTCGAGACCACTAAACCTAGTCTACTGGGCCTCAAGCTTCAGAGAACATCCGTCAGAATGCTTGTGGCGTCGTTCGACTACTTGAGATGACGATTCCCATGCCTTCCAGTGTTTTTGGTTACTCGTTACTCCCAGATCCTTCTCATTCAGTCTTCCAAGATGAAGAAACCACAGGTTCCTGCGTCCTCCTTGAGTGTGGGCAGCAGGATATTCAGCTGTACACAAGGACACATTGTGATATGTGCCATCGTATTCATGATCATGGTGGCTCCTCTCCTTTGGAGACAGAGAGAGTATGTTGGAGTCGATCTGCCTGCATTGGAGCCACATACACCATCAAAACTCGGTTACGACAAAGCCTCCAACAACACAAAGAAACTCTTTTGGACGACCGACGACGAACACCTGCGACAGTTGACGTACTGGAAGAGACCCAAAGAGATTAAGAAGGTTATGGGCATGGTATTTTTCGGTCGACGGCATTCCGTCTCGATCTTGGATTGCTACTTGAAGGTATTTCTCCTCAATAGTAGTCCGGTGAATACGGCGAAGTGTGGTGCTGACGGTTACAGCGGAATCTTGTCAAGAACGGGGGTATGCTCGACGGTGTCATCTTTGTGGAACGAACTCAAGACGAACAGGATCTCAAGCTCCTGGCCAAGATGCTGAATAGCGAACCGAGCTACAAGAGATGGAAGATCGAGATGAGCGACGAGGACAACTTTACAAGCGGGTTCGGAAACTCGTACGACAGGGTTGAGGATGATGTCCTGTACGTCAAGATTGACGACGATATCGTGAGTTGCCATCAACAAAGCTTCCATATGGGTCTTACTGACGGCGCTGTAGGTGTTCATGGAGGATAGTGTCATCCCTTCTATCATCAAGAAGAAGATGGAGCACCCCGAGTACTACGTCGTCTCTGCCAACGTCGTCAACCAGCCACTACTTAGTTGGGTTCACTGGAATCTTGGCGTGGTTAAACCCTACCTTCCTGAAGTCAACAACGAGGGAGCGACCAAGTCGTTCGATATTAAGGATTCCATGAAGTACGACTGGCAAGTCACCAAACTGCCACGGTGGAAAGGGCCGATCGATTTCAAGTTGGATGAGTGGGACGCCGACGATAAACAGCATCGTTGGCTTCCCGTCAAGCACCAGGGTGATCATATCCTCGACAACACTCCCATCGAGACGACCGAGTATCATCCCATGGGTCGCGGCTGGACTGAGTGGAAGATTGGTGCGCAGGAGCACTACAGTTTCCTCGAGAACCTCGAACACAACCGCTTGTCCCAGTACAAGTTCGACACATGGGACTTTCAGTACGAGAGGATGGGCATTCAGTTCATCGCCATGTTGGGCAAGGACATTAACATCGCCAAGCCGATTGAGTCGGACGACGAGAATCACTTTTCGTGCACGATGCCACGACAACTCGGAAGGCGTGAGTTCTCGTGTCCTCCAATTAACATGGCAATCTGCTAATGGCTATAATAGATGCGGTAGCTAATGGAAAAGGCATTGCTGTGCACTATAGCTTCGGTAGCCAGCGTGGCGGCATGGAACGAACCGACATCCTCGCCCGATACAGAGCCTTTGCGCGAGACAATATCTGCGCCAGTCCGATGTTGTGGAAGCCCGAGGACGACTGATCATCAACAAGACAAAGACACTTTGACATAAACCATTTCTTTTTCACCTCTGGTTAAAATCTTGCACGAGAAATCTCTAAGCAAGTTGGCCGAGAAGGAGACTACATCAGATGGCGTTTAGGATGGGAGCCAAGATACACGATAGAGATACACAGCATCATTCACTTTGGCGGACTTCATATGTTGATAGATGAGAAAACAGAATACACACATCTTGCATCAAGATCTTTTTTGAGACGAAGACAAAGACCATCGTTCAAGCCTGGCATTAACTCGAGGAGTCACCGTCGCATCGTGCCCCTATTTCATTTCTACCGCAACCGTCGGGTTGACGCCTTTTTTGATCATCCAGACACCGGCTAAACTCGAATATGAGCCAGGATTAGAGGCAATACTCACCTATATGGCGAGGATGGCGCCGGCAATTCCCCCTTGTTTGCCGCCTTCGCATGCCAACCTAGCTACTTGACACACCCCCGGGGTCAGCCCTTGGTAAATCCTCACCAACAGTTCTTTATCTTATGACAGCATTGATCTTGCGTTATGAGATCACGATCCAAGCAATGGCAAAATTTTCATAGTATCTCTGCATGGTATCTTCTATCCGAACCCTGAGATTTAGGTAAGCTGTTAGTCCTTGGTGTCCTGTTGATGTGCCTCCGTCTTCAGCAACTGCAGTACTCGCGTTCATCAATATCATTGTCAGGTCTGTCACGTACACGGGATCGCATAAACGCATGTTTCAGAGAAGAAGAGGAATAAATAAGCCAGGTGGCAGTAAGTTGCCACCTGGTGAGAGACTAAACGATCGTAGCATACAAGCAAAATGTGTGGTTTTCGGTTTCCAACTTTGAGGTATCATCCGCAATTCATTAATCCATAACACGAACGCTTCAGGGAACAACTCGTCAACACAAGCATAAGACTTTGAAGCGACTGGACCGCATTAAAAGCTCAGGTAGAGCTTCTTAGGTCAGAGACTTGGGGCTCCTGACGCTGTCAAAGTTAATGTCCTCCTCTTGGCGGACGAGGTTGGTCTCCTTCTCGACCTGGGCGAGATCGATGTGGGCAACAGCGTCGTCGCCGTCGAAGATGCGGGCAATCTCCTCAAGGGTGGGGCCCTTGGTCTCAATGTAGAAGTACCACACAAAGATCAACTCGCAAAAGTCCCAGAGGGTGTAGAAGAGCATAAAGTGCCAGTGTTTGGGGAGGTTGTTCCACGCGAGCTTGTTTGTTTGGCTGTCGCTCGTTAGCATCTCAACTGTCATAGTCGAGTTCATGAAGGCAACTTACTTTCCAATGGCGAGGATAGCCTGGACGACAATGTTCATGATCATCATGCCCTTGGCACGGAGATGGAAGGGGAGAATCTCAAGGGCGTAGGCGACGAGAAGACCCGAGAAGCCGATATCGTAAAAGATGCCAAACAGCCAGATAAAGGCGATCTGAGCGTATCCGGAGCTGGTGTTGGTGTATTCGACACCACCATCAGGCTGGTCATCGGTGGGAGGAGTAGGGACTGAGGAGTTCTCGTAGATGGCACCAGCGATGGTCCACATAATAAAGGCCGTGACCATACCGGAAATGGCAGTGAGGAAGAGAGGACGACGACCGACCTTGTCGACAGAGAAGGCGGCAGCGATGGAGACGGAAAGATCGAGAATGGTCTTGCCAGCAGAGAGCTATAAGGGAGAAACTGTTAGTTACATGATGTTTGGACAATGGCTAAAACACTTACAGCAAGCTTCTTGTTCTGCTGCTTGATACCGGCACCCTCGTAGATAATATCCATATAGTTGGAGAACAGAGCGTTGCCAGAATACTGAGAAATGATACCGAGGGAAATGATGATGCCGAGTCGCCACAGGTTGCCCCTGGTCTTGACAAAGTCGGAGTAGCTAGTAGCCTTGGAGGCGGCGCGGTCGGCCTGAATGGTTTGCTTGATCTCGCGGTACTGGAACTGCACAGTCGGGTTGTTCTCGTCACCGCCGGCATGGTGCTTGGCGAGGACTGCAAGAGCCTGCTCGGGCTTGTCCTTGTTGACAAGGAATCGGGGAGACTCGGGGACCCACCAGATACCGCAGAGCTGGACGATGGATGGAACGGCCTGGATAAAGGTGATGGATCGCCATGACCAGTTGCTGTTAATCGAGGCAGTGCCCCAACCGACAACAGAGACGACTAAAATGATGTATTAGCATCCCTTAGTTATCTCATTTGAAGAGGAGTTGCTTACTCAGAGATCCGAGGTTCCAGAGACAGTTGTAGACAGCGGTGAGAGGACCACGGTGCTGAGGATGGCAGATCTCAGTCAGAAGCATAGGAGAAGACATCTGAGCCAGAGAGTTGCCGAAACCAAGAACAAAGCGACCAGCCATGTACACTAGACCGTAAAGTTAGCACTGATAGCTCAGATTGGTCGGAAAGGGGGAGTGTCTGGGAAAGACTCACTTCCGTAACCGTTACAGAAAGCAGAGATGAAAGAACCCGCAATCATGATGACACATCCAATCATGATTGTTGGCTTTCGTCCCAAGTTGTCTGCAAGGTAGGGTGTAATGAAGAAGGACACGATCGAACCGATGTTGTACATGTTGATCAAAATACCGAGCTTGCTCTCGTTCTTGTACTCTGGGAAGTATTCCTTCCACCTATCCATCTGCTGACTGGTGTTGACCATCATACCATCGTATCCGGTGGTTGCTGAAGCGATCAAGAGAAAGATAATGAGGCAGTAGAGGTTTCGCAAGTGAGGCTCTTTGTACCAGGTCACTTTCGCGAACCGGGGCGCCTCGGCCTGAGCGACCTCGAGAGACGACCGGTCAGCGTTAACCGGGGCTTTGGAGCCTATCGGCTGCAAAAACTTTGGCAAAGCCATTGCGGAAAGGGGTCAACTCGATCAACAATGTGTGTTTGGAGTTTAAGAGTTGAGAAGGCCACCCAGGCTAGAGTCTTGATGAGCGAATTGGCTCTTGGGTGAGTATGAACGAGAAAGGAACCCGAAAACACGGGGAAGAACGTTCCACTTATATACTATTCTCGCGTAGCAGTGAATGCCATGTTGTCGATCCATCCTGGGGGATCAGAGCGTGGAGCCCCAGGTCTGTCACCTGCGCTGCCGGGAGGATTCCCCTCTACGGCGAGGGGAAGGGCATATGAGCCGAGGGATGGGTGGGCAAAAAGATCAACCGGGGCGGAAAGACGGGTAATGCACGTTGCCAAGAGGAGGTGTGGTGTCTCGATCTGGTCTATTTACTAGGGTCACCCAAAGAAACTCCTCCAACCCTATCCCCGGGAATTCAGGTAGATCTTTCCAGGGATGGGCTTAATTTGAACAAGGGGTTGAGGTGCTGTGTGGAGAGACCTAGTCGACTCACCATTCGACCTAGCCATGACCTGACGGGAGGCGTCGCATTCTGCTCCGCTAGTCTCAGGAGACCATACGAGGAACGAGACGAAGAATGAGAAGGGCTCGACCGTGAATGGACTCTTGGTTCCTGGGCTGAGGAGGAGGAGGGGGAAAAGGGTCCCATGGGTAGGTCATGAACCCGTCAGTTTGGAGCGCGTCGCAGCTTAAGCGATATTCCAAGCAGGCATGTTACCAAAAGAAGCGCCACAAAACGACGTTGAGGTTAACCAAGGTTCCTTTCGGCTCATGGGTTGATGTAGACTCGATATTCACCCGGACCTCATTTTTTGATCATCACTCAACGATATTGGCCTTGTTTGCACTCATTCCAAACTCTTCCCGAGATATAATTGAGTGCCCTACACCTTAATCTTCACAATTGTCATAGTGCCTGGCGGGAGAAGGGAATCTGGATCTCAAGCGCACTAACCTCCAGCTAAAAGCCCACAGCAGAACGATCCCACCACACGACTCGCAACGCCTGCACAAACGTGGTAAAAGGGCCGTCTGGTTGAATGCAAGTCCTCGTCTTTTCTCGCATTCACCCACCCAATGGCTCTTCGGTCCTGTTGTTCCAGGATACCCAAAACGGAGCACAAGGTGTGATCTGGGGTGTAACCTTGGGGTAAGCGGGTCCCTCAAGAAAGGGACAAGCCGTTTGGTTCGCCAAGCTTAATTGAGGTCCAAATGGAGCTTTTGCCAACTATAGCTCACATGGCATGATGCCCCCCCTCTCATTGAACATGGGAGTTTTGTCTCATGGCACCCAAGAACCTGGCTCGTTGTAACGGGACATGGTTGATTCTGTGCCGCTGGCGCCACAGACCACATGAAGGCACCTGCAAATGTCCCTCGGTAGTTGAGAATGCCCAGCCAACATGTTATAGAACTGAACCGTTGAGGTCGACGACGAGATTGACTCTGAAGTCGTTGAGATAAGAATTAAGCATAAATAAGCATAAAGATATTAGAATGGGGAATTAGAAGAGTATCATCATAATCATGAATAACCGTTAAGAAGAGTCCATAATTTAGACAGAACTTTGACTCTCAAAGTCTTTGAAGACCTTGTGAAGAAGCTCATCACTTGTTTCACCCACGGCAGGGCGTGTGCCAGACCCACGAGGCTTGGCGTCCACTTTCTCGGATCGCGGGCCCGAAAACCACTTTAACCCATGATTAATAGCTGACACAAGCCGAGATTGGCTCCCCTCGCGGACCTAGAACTCGAACTTGGGGGATGATCCATGAGCCGTTGTTTCGCGGGTATGCCCGTATTGAGCTTGTTCAACGATCAAGCCTGCCCCCGTTCGATATTGTTGATCTGGGGCATTTAGGCGGTATGGAGGCCGCCGATGTCCTTCTTCAACAACTCCATGAAGCTCGGTGTGTCACCGACCAGATCGGTCAAAACAATACGAGTATCATGTTGAACAATTCAGGCTTTATAGGAACAAGCGAAAGTTTCTCAAGTCTAGATGCACCAATTGACAAGGGGACAGACAAGCTCAAGGCCCAAAGAACCTGTCCATCCTCGTGCCTCGAAGCAAAAAAACAAGTCTAGTCATGCGCCATCTGCGCATTTCTCACGATGGCCTCAACTTCTTGACCCTTCTCCAACCGAGGTCTTTGCAGAAATGCGAAAAAAAAAGGAGCCCCCGGCCCTATGTTACGGATTTGGTGTGTTGCCCCTTGGGGTTCCGGAGATGCGGGAGAGATGCGGGAGAGATGCCGAACAGACGAGATGGGCCACACACCACGAGTCTTACTCACAGGTCCATGCTCGCTGACCACGACTGTAAACTTGACAATTTCAGAATTTTCTTTCTCATTCTTGTTGGAGGATTCCAAAGCAATGCCTCGAAAAAGGGGCGCAGGAGTTTTGGTATGTCTCGAATCAGGCAATCGCCGTCAAGAGAGTCTATTCAATCTTGGGAGAATTCAGGCAAAAGCTATCCATGAGACACACACCTTTGCCGCTCTCGGGTGGCCCCAGAATGCAGAGCACCTGCATCGAGTTGCCTGCAGGGTGCATCCGTTGTGCCCCCTCCTCCGGCCGGATCCTCGGCCGTGGCTGGCGATCCCCTCCATCTCGTCCCCCTCAGCCGTTAGTAAATCCGGGGACGCCACGCCTTTCCCACCGCGCCACGAAGATGCATTGTCGAGTTCATCATAGGATTAGAAGCTTGTATTTTGCCTGAAATCAAAATGTCACGATCCAGGTGTCGTCTGGTTTGGCTTTTGGTCTCCCCGCTCGCGTGTTTTTTTGCCTCCTCCACACATACCCATGCATCTCGTCACGCTTCATCCCTTGCTTCATCCTTTCAAGAGGTCGGCTGAATTAGCTAAAACTATTCTTGGCGACAGCATCGACTAACACATGGCTTTTCAGCTGCCGGGGCTTGTACCCGAATTGCCTAGACGCGCACACACTGCCGAGACGCGTTGGGAGGCATCCGGTACCTATCTACACAAAGATACCAGGTCCAAATCATCCAGGTCTCGACTCAGACATACAGCAATACAGTCCAGTTCTGCCAAATTACCCTTTTCCCTTCGTCCGAACATTGTTCCTTTTCCCGTCCCGTACCAAACATGAAAGACAATAATAGCAAGTATCCGTAACACACCCAATGAATCCTTCCGAATCCTTACAAGACAAGTTGACGGTATAATAGACAGCATAATTCGGCCCGCGATGCCATCAAAGGGTAAAACACCAATCGTTCGTTGTCGTGTCACAATTGGTCTGCTCAACACTCAGCAGGGAGCGCACCGCTCATCATGGCAATGTCCGACATCTCGTCGGTCTGTTGTTCCTCCGACAATCCTCTGCTGCCAGCTCCGGCCTCCAACTCCTCGATGCTCGACAAGGCCTTTGCAAACTTGTCTCGTTCTCCTCTCAGCACCTCCCGCCTCGTCGCCGTGGCCGAGTCCTCTGCCATAAGCCTCTCGTAGACGCTTGTGGAATCATGACCTCCCAGGCCGAGCTTGCGGTCGAGGTGATATGGTAGGTGACGTTGGATGTGAGGAATCATGCCGTTGGTGATGTGGAGAGCTACAGCGTCCGCGAACCGCAAGGCAGCGAGGCGGTAGTAGCCTCTAACATAAGCCACGACCTCGAGCTCCCTCTCAAATGAATCTGGGCCAAGCTTGCCCAGATCGGCCTCGCGTCGCCTTTCGTCCTGGATACGTTTCTCATCGGTTAGGCTTTCCCAAGGAACCGGGGGTCGCCCATCGCCGTACCCGGCCGCCAACATTCGCATCTGGTGGCGGTATCGCGTCAGAAGAATCTGCTCGTCCTTCTGATACCGACGGAATGCTTCCTGGTTGACTGTGAACAGACCGTATGTCTCGAGGCGATAAACCACATCAAGCGCAGCAAGAGTCTCATGGCGCCGCTCATCAAGGTACTCTGTGAGAATCTTGCGACACTCCTTATAGATGAGACGTTTGTTGAGACGAGCAAACGAGAGCTCCAAGGCTGACTCAAGCATCGTGCTCAAGAGGTTCATAACCTCATTGAGGAATGCCTTCATGGGTCCATCCCAGGGTTGAATTGCCTCGCGGCACATGTCGTTGTAGACCTCTTCCGTGATGATGTCTGGCACGCCAGCTCTGGTCTTGGCCTTGATCTCATCCCGAACCTGGCGAAGAGTCCTGAATCCTCGTCCGACGCCCGTGAATGGAGTGAACGGAGCTGGGAAGGCTGTCCGTCGAGGGCCGGCAGCGGGAGAGAACCGCGGAACACTGGCTCTCATGTCTTCGGGCTTGATGTGTCCATTGGTTCCGTTGGGCATTGGATCAGTGCGGGCTCGCTTGGAAGGGGTCGTAGGTGGTCCCATCGCTCGTCTTTTGCTTGGCGTATTGGTGTTGGTGATGGTAACAACCGATCCCGCATCAGATTCGTCATCAGAGATCTCCAGAACGGGAATGTCGCTACTGTCCTTGAGAGTGAACTTGGGCTTCATATCCAGGAGACATTCGCGAAAGTTCTCGGGCAGCGGGACAAAGTGCTTAGAGAACTCAGCAGGCTTCAGCTTGGATCGAGCCTGCTCGCCAAACTCCATGACACTGGTCTGGACCTCGAGTTCAACATTGGATGGCAGTTCCGGTAGCTTGTTCAACTGTTCCACGATGTTATTCAGATGGTGCTTAAGTGTCTGCTTGATGTGAGGGAGGCTGGTGAAGTGTTAGCGCTTTTCTTGGTCATTCTCTATAGGCATTGGCGTGATAACGTACCTTTTTGCGAACTCCTGGCCAAGCTTCTCTGAGAGGAATGCCTTTAGCTTCTCGATACCACACCGATCAGTGAAGGGGTGGAATGCAGGTGGCCATCTGTCGTAGCCGTAATCCACAAATACGTGCTCTTCCCACCTCTTGAGCTCATCGAGATCCTTTCCCTGTGGTCGCGACGTGATGAAGTACCCGAGTCCAGTGGTATGTGCCTCCTCCCTCATGATGGCAAGCCACTGCTCATGGTTGCCGCCCTCTGGGATGAGGTCGGCTTTGGTGAGGACGCCGATGGTGCGATTCAGAGCTCCAAGTCTGCGAATGAGGCCAAAGGTAGATGAGTTTTCGGCATCACTGTTCATGGGCATAGAGCATAAGATGATCGCCGATGGATGTTGAATATACTCTCTCGAGAGGTTTCTCACAACATTGACGAGGTAGTCGTCGCGAGCGTCAGCTGGGTTCTGGAAGATACCTGGCATGTCGTAGAATGAAAGATCGGGGAGTTCGGGGCCCTTGATCTCGAGGGCGACGATGTTTGGCGAGAACTTGGCAGCCACGGTCTCGGCGGCTCTGTCGATGGGAACCGTGTTTGCGATGCCACCGGAGCCGGGGACAAAGAGCTCATGGCTCTTATCATCGTTGAGGATGGCGATCTGGGCCCAACGAAGAACCTCCTCGATGTCGCTGTGGTCAATCATGGTCTTGAACTCATGCACAACTGTGGTCGGCAGCTTTCGCCAAGGGAAGAAGGGATCCCGATCAGTGACGTCGTTCTCATTGATGGATCGGTGCTCTGGGGGTTGGTAGGAGTATTCCTTGCGAAGCCACACGCGGCAGGATGGATCATGACTTCGTGACACTCGAATGTGCAGTGGGCATCTGGTGCAGGTTCCTTCACTTCGAGGAAGATCAAGGTTGGCGAGACCTGACATGAGACTCGATTTACCGGCAGACTGGTCGCCGACGAGGACGAGCTCTGGAAGAGGGACATCGTGAGAGACACCAAGTTGCTGAAGCTCACCGAGTGTATCGTTGCAGGCCTTGAGCTTCTTTCCGATGTCCTGAAAGGATGTCTGGAAGAAGCTCCCATCAACGGGGACCTGGCTGGTCGGGCTCTCAGCCGCAGCGTTGGGTCGCATCCTCAGTTCCCGTAGCAAAGGCTCAGGTTCTGTGAGGCGCTCACTTGGGGTTGCTTTGATGATGTTAGAGTATTCTTGGGTGAGGTTGATGCAGGGTAAACTTACGGGCATCGGATCTGCCGTGACGATAAAAAGCCTGGTTGGGTGGAATATGCCCGCTCTCGCTGTAGCTCGAAGTGTTAGAAGGAGTATTGCGCAGATCAAGGTTGACAGTGCCAGACTCTGGAATAGATGAAGAATCCGTGGCAGAGTCGGGGTCTGGCTTGATGCGGCTCTGGCGAGGTCGGCGCCGTGGTGTTGTTGAGTGAGAGTGAGGCATTGTGGTTGCCGAGAAGCTGTAGGTTGCGCGGGAAGACATGAGGTGGATGAATTCACCCTGAGAGGGGAAACGCCCTAAAATTCAGACCGAGGACTTGAGTGAATGAATTGAGCGCTTGTCGAAGAAGAGATGATGTCGTTGTTTTTGTGTGTTTGCTGCACTGGCGAAAGGAGATGTTGATTCCCTGCACCTGCGGGTCAACTGCCGGTCCAAGGTGATGGAAGCGAGACGATGTACAGATGAATCAAGCGTAAAAAACAGAGATTATAGTAGAAAGATGCTGAAATTATTCACTGAAGACTCGAGATAATGAGTTATCATGGGCATGAAAGGACAGGTCGAGTTTCATGAGGTTTGCTCCCATGCAGCTCCACGGTTTGCGGTTGGTTGCCTGTGCTTGCTTCTTTCACTGGGCGCTACCCGTTGCTCTGGGGCAACACGCTGCCCCGATACCAAGTGTTAGGGGGCAGGTTGATATCACCACAATTGAGACGAAATTTTGAAAGAAAATCGTTGATTTTTGAGTCTATAAATCACTGAATTCTCAGAGATTATTTTTAATGGCACATTCAAACCATCATCACCCAGCATTGAGGGTATGTGACACACCCATCATCCCATGTCCTAACAGGAATTATTGCTGCATGGAGTTGACCTGAAGAATAAAAATGGGGTGGTTGGGCCCAGGCTGCAGGCAGATAAGGTACGTACCTGCATTTGCCCCTGAGCTGAGCATCACCAAACTGAGAGGTAAAGTGCAAGCCTTAGTCAGCTTTCACTCAAAGAAGCCGAATTGAACTGCAAGGATCCAATGGGCGTTGAGCTCTTGAGATAACGGCTCCTCCCCGCTACCGATCCCCTAAGATCTCGGGCCTTGTGGTGGATTCCTATCAACTGGAGCCCTCCCGTCCCGAGCCGGCGTCTTAAACCAAGGCCGGCTCATAAAGAACCCCTCATTCCGGGCATTGTTACGGACATCTTGATAACTCAGTTTATGCTCTCCCCCGCCAAAGTTCGACCATGGAAGATGAGATTCGGGTCCAATCGCCCTCATCTGTTCGGCGCCGTCGGAGAAAGATCTCTAATGCGTAAGGCTGTGCGATCTCGGCAACTTGGCATCAAAATTGACACATGGTTGCAGGTGCATAGCCTGTCGCAATCGCAAGTCCCGATGCTCTGGGAGAAACCCCTGTGAGAGATGCGTTAGTCGCAAGGTACCATGTGTATTCGAAGAAAAAGAGGCAAAAGCTACGGTTTCTGTCGAGTGAGTAATTTACTGGCAATGACGCTTCATGCCTGATGCTTGCAGGTATCTCGACGGGCTGCATGCTCGGATCAAGGCACTCGAGACTCAACTCCAAGGCACACAGAGCTCACGGACGGAGGGGCAATTGTCTGTTCATGGTGATGCCGAAGAACAGGGATCGCCAGATCCTTCATTCGAAAATTCCCTCTCAGATCCTGAGAAGCGACCGCCAGTTGCTGCCGCCTCATACAATCAAGACCCAGGAGAGACGTCCGTTATACATCGGCGCCTCGACTCAGAGGACTTGACAAACACTTTGGTCGCCTCGGAGCCCCAGATCAAAGTTCATCGATATGGACATCCTGGTACGTCTCTCCTTTGTCCTCCAGGTGACTGCGGCGCTCACCTCAAAAGCCTATCTTGGGCACAGCTCGACTCTCAGTTTCAGCCGAAACGTACGCAACCTTCTTCAACGATCATCACCTATCGCAGACCCCGGGAGTGTCTCCGTAGAACGCCTGGACATATCCTACACGACGAACTTACCGCCGATTGCACTTGATCTGGCCAGCATCCCACTACCAAGACTCTCATATGCCGAGTACTTAACCAACACCGTGGTGGCGCATTTCGGATCGCTCTACTCTCTCTTCGAGCCAGAAGCTTTTCTTCAGAAATTGAGAGCATTCTATAGCGAACGTGGTAAATGCCAACTTCCGGATGCCACATTGTGGCACCTCCAGATGCTTCTTGTATTGGCGTTTGGCAAGTCCATACTATCCAGAGAACACTGCGAGAAGGGACCATCTGGAATGGTTTACTTCACCCACGCGATCGAGGCCATGCCAGACATTCGTAGGCTTTACGAACACCCTCTACTGTCAATCGAGATCCTCTGCTTGGCGGCTTTGTTCATGCACGCAACCGACCTGCTGCAAGAGTCTTATGTTACTGTGAGCTAGGCAGCTCCCATGTTTGACTATTCAATAACTCTTTCCAGATAGGACAGGCTTTGCGCATGTCTGTCACCAACGTTATGAATAAGCTCTTCCCTGAAGCTTTGCGACCACCGAATGTCGAGTACCAGCGGAGACTCTGGTGGACGGTCTACTGTATTGACAGGAAGAGCGCTGCCATGCTTGGCAGCCCTTCAGTCATGCGCGACGACGATATTTCGATTCCTTTCCCCGATACCAAGGAGAGAGACGATGCGCAGAACGCCTTTGCTATACATGTTAGGATCTCTTCCCACTTGGGCAAGATTCTTGACGGTATGCTCAAGCAATCCTGATCTGGTCACCCAGCTCACAGATGGCAGTTCTTTACGGGACACATAGCCAGCAAAGAAACTTCCTTGTTGAGGTCAAAGCCATTCTTTCGCGTCTTGCAGAGACCTCCTCCGTGCTTCGGGAACACCTGTACCTGGATCTTCAACAGACAAGGGAGTCGGTCAATCGTGAAGCTGCCACACTACATTTGTTGCTTCACCAGGTTTGTGATGATGATGATGCTTGCAAAGCTAAATGCTAAAGTCGGCTTTTAGTGTGTGATTTTAACCGTCCGACCGGTCCTGTTTTCCCTGTTGAAGCCTCTTCTCAGCCCCGATACACCCTCGTCAAGCAACCCGCAGCCTTTGTCTCCCGCCTTCGAATCTATGCTGAGGATGTGCATTGACTCGGCGATACATATTCTTAAGATAATGTCGCTTCTGAAACATCAGATGATGTGTGGTGAGCGTCATCCACCAGTAATCCCGAGGGTATGCTCACTTTCCGCAGACATCTTCTTGCCGTACGACATCGACGCAGTATTCTCAGCAGCTTTTGCTCTAATATTAGTCGACATCATCAGGCCTGCGAATGAGCTTCTCTGGGATCTACCTCAAGTCATGAGCCTACTCGATGAATACGTCTCCAGGCACGTCGTCCCAGCACAAGCTTACCGGGCGGACCTGGTACAGCTCCTCGAGCTTCATAATAAGATACGCGGCAGAGATGGTACCCCTTTCTCAAAACTCGGTGATGCAGGGGCTGTTAGACAAAACTCGAACCTCGCTGGATATGCTATTGCTCATCCCGGTCAGACTGATGTGTCGCCCGATCCTGTGTGGTCGCACATCAGGAATGGGGATGACGGATTTGTTCAGCCGCACCCAGAAGCTATTCTATCAGTTATTGACGATTTAGATGTTGAGGGGGCGGACCTTTTGGATACGACTTTGCTGGATGGGGGCTGGATGTGGGAGTTGGATGATCTCTCAACTGATCCATAGGAGCGTTGCCAAAGCCTCCCACTCACACAATAATGGCCGCCTTCTACTATAGCGTCGCCTACGAACTACCAGGATTCGTGCCCAAACGGCGACGCGCCCCGAAGCCTGCCCCGTTCGAGTACAGACTAGCTACCCCTGACCTGTCCCTGGCTCGTAATCGTAACTGCAGTTAGAGGAGGGAGAAGGGCGCCTCTACGTCCCTCGAACCCCTCTTCATAACTTCGGGAGATAGATATGACAGAGCACCATCTAGCCGAAATAAACCGAGTTTTCACCTGCAATCCGCAATATACCTTGTTTGTAACTGAGCTCTCCTTTCTGCCTCATTTCTTCAGTGAATCATGGGCCCCTCCCTAATGTTACAAGTGACGATCTGTGACTAGGTAGGTAGGTATAAACAAAATTGTTTGCTCGGGGGTCACGTGTTGGCACATTAACGAAGCTCATGTACATCTCTGATAAACAATTCTGATGAAGACCTTTGCAACAGATCACCGCCGCTGTTCTTTCTTGCCTTTTTCTTTTCAAGAGAAAATAACAACACTCTTTCGACGCCATGTCTTCTAAGCCTATGGTTCATATCACGGGGCCAAACGGCGAGCAAGTGACTACTTGTCCTTTTTCCTTCCCGGCCGCTGCCGATGAGCTCATCTCCTTGGAGGAGTGGCTGCGCGACCCTCCTCCCGCTCCAAAGCCCACAAAGGCTGACGACGGCTTCGGTATGTATTCCTTAGCATTTTCCCAAAGGCTATCTCTTTACTGTGATATGGGCTCTTGAAATGGGCTTATGGGCTTTGGTAAACTGGATTCTAATATATTATAGACGTCGATAAAGCCACGTATGACGAGCTCTGGGCTCACATCGCCGAGAAAAACAGGAAGCTCTACCTCGAATATGCCGACACCGATGCCCCCAAGGCCAAGCTTTGAAGAAGATGGATCAATAACCCTTGGGGGCCCGAGGCCGATTTGAAGGAGAATGGATGCCGGCTTTGTGGCCACATATCCAGTCAGCCCTTTTCTTCGAATCTCAAGTTCCGCAAGGTATGTGGGTGGCATCATAAGTGTGTGTTGGATATTATCTAACAAGTGCCTAGTGAAGACTTGTCGAAAGAAAGGGGAACCAGCCTGTAGTTGCTGCCGCTGTGGATTTTGCTGCTCTCTAGTGGTTTGGCATCGGGATTAAAGCCTTTTCTTTAACCCTTGTAAACATGAGTATCTTGGGCATAAAGATATGCTGCCTAACAAGTCTTTGCTTTTAACTTGTTTGGATTCGTGACCCTAGATGAATCCTCTCTCCACCTTCTCTCCTCCATGTACTCGAGCTTTCGTTGGAACAGCTCGATGTAAGCTGTAACATTACTGGGTTGATCGCATATGCCGGAAGTGAGGGTGCCGGATGCCATTGTTGTGGTTGGATTTAGATTGGCTGGTTTCCGTTAATTTCCAGGGAAATCGAGCCCATCATGGGAGAGTTATTCATATGGGCTGTGGTAGAATCAAATGGACTAGGTATGGCCAACCTCACCACTCGTCCCACCAAGCTTCCTGTTCGTTCTGAGCGTGACCCAAACCATGCTCTTTCCACTACTTTTGCAATGCCAACACCGACTGGCTTCTGTATCTCATTTTACTTTCTATTCTCTTCTAAATTTCCTCGATTTGTCCTCGACTAAGCTCTGTTGCCACTGACGACGCCCGGATTCGACAGGATTGCTCTCATGAGGAGGGTGAGCGCTTTGCCTCCAACCTCCAGATTCCTCACGATCACAACCTCTCAGAGTCACTTGAGACGGCGATGCAGTGTTAAATCAGATTCCATTTTTCCTCATAGCAAACCAACCTTTCGTCATGTCCGCCGCCGTGTCCAGGATTACCGTGGTCGGTCCGGATGGGAACCAACTTCCCCGTCGATCAACATACTCCGGCATTCAGGTGGTTGATGGTCTCGTGCTTATCTTTCAGAAGAGGCATGAAGGTTCTTCGAAGATTATATCGCTAATATAGTTGGAAGCTTATGCTTGTGGATTCTCACTAATGTCTCAAAGTTTGGAAGACATCATCTTCAAAGTTGGAGGACAAACATGCTCGAAACGTCGAAACACAGAGGTACTATTATCGTTCCTCAGACCTACCTTGAATAACTCTAACGCAAATGTTGGTATATAATCTCGCCCATAAACAACTCCTCGCGGAACATGACTATTCTATACATCTCACATCTCTCATCACATGCCTCCCCAACTGCCCGTCCCGCCACTCATCGCTGGCTTGCTCAGCAGTTTCAGCGTCTCATCCCAATTCTTCCAGTCAATATCTTCCACCTCGCCTAGTTCCATGCTCAGATCCATACCCTGCGTCACGGACGATAAGCCATCGGGGTTTAGCGCGCCGTGTTGGAAGAGGTCGTCTATGTCGCCGAGATCGCCGTTGTGATTGTGTTGAAAGTCATTTTGTCCCGGCCATGGCGAGAGGTGATGATCTGGATACTGCTGAGGATCGTGGTCGTGGTATGTTGACGTTGCTGCGCCGGATGCAGCGGGTGATGCGATGCTTGACATGCTTCCGAGACTGCCCCCTCCTGGGAAGAGACCCCCTGGATTGGAAGCCTCCATGGTGCCTCCTTCAAAGTACACAGCTATGCCTGGATTGCCGGAGTGAACGTTCTGCCATGCTTGATTGAGGTTGGCATCGGACAACACATTATTTGTGGTTTCGGTACTCTGCTTAGGGGGCTCTGGTTCCTGCACCTGGACACTCCTAGGCTGAGGTGTAGGTTGAGGACCAGCCCCTTGTGCTTGTTCTTGCATGATGCTTGTGGGATATTCCGAGTTATAAACAAACTCTCCAGAGCGGAAAAGCTTTCGCCATCGAAGTCTCAGTTCCGACATGCGAGTTTCCATGCCCGGAGCTGGACCGATGCGCTCGAGTACTGGCTTCAATCGATCCTCAATGTCCAGCTGTCTTGCAGCGGCCGGATCAGCGCGGAGTCGTACCATTTCAGCTTCGCGATGCTTTTTAGCCTTGGCGTAGAGCCTCTTGATGGGCATCCATGCCGCGGTGTGTTCTGCGTTGTTGGTGCCTTCAATGGGATGGTCGTACTGCAAGATCTGGGCAGCCTCCCAGGCTCGTTCTGATGTGACACTCCATGGCCGTCTTGACAGTTCGAGAAGCATGTATGCGATAGCGTGCCATTGCCTGTAGGATTGAAACAACCAGCGCCATTGACGACACCGCGGGTCGACGTTGAGAATGTGGTTGTACTCGACAATCTCAATCGTCGACATCCACAGCCGACTCCGGATCTCCTGCGATGCTTCGGGTCCAGTGCCTGGGAATAGCACAGGCTGGTAAATGATGAGTCCGATCTTGGCCATGATAACACGCGAAATGAGGGACGCCATCCAAAAGACAGGATCCTCGTCCATGACGACGTGCTTCAGGAACTTGTCCTCCATGCGATCGTAGACCTCGACAAGCATTCGCTCACGGTCCTCGAGACTCTTTTCGACGTTTTTGGGATCAACTGGTCGCATTTGTGTCATTGCCGTGAATAAGCGACGAGAAAGGGCGATGATCTCATATCTCACGAGACAGATTGCTGTGTCAGTCCGACCTTGACGAGGTGTGGGCATCTCGGTGAAAGACGGGTCGATATCGGTGTCGTTAATGTTAGATGGCAACTGCGTGTCGAAATTCTTATCATTAACAATAAGATCGGAGCCCATCTCCTCAGCAGAACGCAGATCGATCGCCACGACCGCCCACCAAAGCCGACGTCGCATCTCAACCTCAAAGGGCGGGAGCCCAAGCTGCTGTCCGTCACGGTGGAGACCGAGAGCCTGAGCCATGCGAACGCAGAGGCTGGTGAGGGTCCAGCATAAACGACTGTCATCGTGGCACTTGACGACGGTGAGGTAGATGGCAAAGGCCTGGAGGACAGCCATGTCGGACGTGGTGAGGAGGTTGGCCTTTGCGAGGGCTTGCTCGAGGGCGAAGCGGAACTGGGCGATGTAGTGCGACTTGGATGCTCCGAGGTTTGTTTGGGCCTAAGATGTGAGTGAGATTGAAGCAATCCTTGGAGGTGGGCTCTTACCTCGTCAGATTCCATTGAGACGACAGCTGAGTAGTAGATGGCAAAGACGAGGGCTTCATCACCAGGACGAAGGTCATGCTCTCCACGCCTCACTTTGGTCATGAGTCTGCTCATGGTTGGGATGTGCAGTACCTTGACCAATGGCTCAATGTTCTCGAGATATATCTGCCAGAGGAAAGATGTCTGCGCTGGCAAAGGATGAAGACCAGCCAGGTCGACGTCTGCAGACCGATAACCCAAGAGAAAGCTGTGATGATCAGAGTCGGCGCCAAGATTCTGCGGAGGCGACTGCTCAGGTGTCGTGTCGTCTTGAAAATCGTCCAGGTCATCAACAGCCTCCATCTCATTGCGCAGCTCATCAAGCTATGATCGTTAGCTATGCTCATCACCATTGCGGGCGGTCTCATGGTACCTCATCATTCAGCTTGGCAAAGAAGCCGCTGTTGACATATCGCGCAGTCGGTTCTCCATCGTGAAGGATCAATCGGCCAAGCTGCTTGTTCAGGTTTGTGAAATTACGACTCTCAGTCTCTCGCTTGACTTCATCGGCTGTCTCTTTCACAATGTCAGACTGAGGGCTGTTGTGATCCTGTGCCTTGGGCGATTCGTCATCATATGCGCCCACGTTACTGCCGCCGCTCAGTTCCTGAACGAGACCTTCAAGTTTTCGAAGACGCTTGATGAGATCGGCCTCTCGCTCAGTGGGCACAGCCTTGGCCGGCACATTCGGCCTCGTCTGGCGTGGGGCGCGACCTGGCGCTGGATACATGCAATCGCTCTGTGCGCGACGACAATTACTGCAGGGCATCATCTTGTCGCAACGAACCCTGCGCCGGCGACAAGTGACACAGCTCCTCGGGTTCAACAGCGGGGCACCCGACGCCGTGAGAGCAACGGGGCGGTTAAACGGGATGGTAGCCACGCCGTTCTGGCGCGGCGGCACGGGAGCACCGGAGGAGGCGGCATTGGTTGAGTCGTTATCGGGCGACGCCGAAGACTGCGGCTGCGCAATTGAAGCCATCGCGAGGCCTGTCGTTTGCAGTGTATGTTGTGCGGTCAAGCGTTTAGGCTCCCGCTCGCTTGACTGAACCGAAGAGTCGGGCACCGGGTGGAGGCTTATTAATGAAAAGGATAATGCAAAGCCGTTGGAGTCATGCTTTAACTTTGGCAGGATCTGCAACAAGATTTCCCGTCATCGTCGTCGTAGTCAAAATCAGCACTAGCAACGGGGCTTGGCTTCCCTTTGTCATCTGCAGTGAGCCTTGCTGGCCAACAATCTTGTCTGGCCCGCTCAGCTGCTACCCTGCTGAAACAATGGAGAATCAGCCTTTGATCCAATATCGGAGATGACGACTGCTGCTCTGTGCGTCTTAACTACTGGGGCTGCTGCCTGTTGGTCAAAGACCTCCCACAATCTGCTGGGATTTGATCCTACGGGTGGATCCCACGTCAGTCCCCAAATGAAACTATTCCCAACTTTGACAATAAGGTTGTCTCGATTCTGACCATCTCTGCGAGATCAATGACCCACATCTAAAGACCAGAAAAGATAATGCAGTTGTTATCTCATATGATCTGATATTCTACCTACCTACCTATTCTAGTAGTTCGAAGGAGTTAGGGAGGAAAAGTAGATCACAGTAAAATAAACCTTCCCTAGTTTTATGACATCATCTTCAACTCATTTGAGTTCATATATAAGGATTCCGACTCTATTTCGACGTCCGAGCCACAGCTTTTTGCGCAATAGTCGATCTTCTGGCTCCATTCCCATCAGGGGCCGGGCTGCAACTATAATAAAGAACAGATTCTTAACACGTCATAACATCATGACCCGATATTAATATAGTGGCCTTTTTTAAACCTTCTGCAGCAGCAGAAGAGTCACACCTAGCCACATCAGCATGAAAGGTCCAGCCTCTCACTGGTATTTCAACTGCTCTAACCTCCGTTGCACAACAGTCAATGTCAACATCACACAGCCTCTGGCTGATGCGACCAAACGTTTCAGCCCTTGAGCGTAAAACAATGCTGACCTGATATGCCTTGTCGTCCTATTGGCTATGTGGCTGCACAAAGGCGAAGCACATCGGCCAACACATGGTCCGCCAAGGCGCCGATTTCATGTACCGTTAAACACGGAACTAATAGCAGAGGTTCCAGCAAGGGCTTGTCTCTCAAGAATTCAACCATATAAAACCAAAGGGACGCTGGTTTGTGGCAACTCATCCTATTGCCCCTTATCCTCTTTGAAGCTGGCTCCGACTACCTGAGTTGCGAGTTTGCTGTGACTTCTCACTGTCAGCTAAGTATGCTGTGTAAGGCGCTCTGATGGGCACTCTGGGGTTTTTCATGCAGCCTGATTTCTGCGCCACTCAGTGCGCCGAGGCGGCCTTGTTGGGCAGATCAGGCTCTGAAATATCGCAATTGCGAGATTCTTTTTCCCCTCCGCCAACTCTTTCCTGTCGATGGAATCGCAGGTTTTCTGCTGCGAGGGCAGCTCTTGAACAAAATTTTGCCAAAATACCTTCGAAAACCTTGTCTATGGGTGATCCCTTGTCCATCGCCGGCAGTGCCGTCGGCATCATCTCTCTGGGCATTCAGGTCTGCCAAGGGCTCATTCAGTATGCTGACGCAATCCGAGGGCGGCAACAGGACGTAGACAATGGCATGGACGAGATTCGATCGTTGCTAGCCGTTTTCAAATCACTCGAACACACCATCGCACGCATCGAAACCGACAGCCCAGAGAATGCCAGGTCGCTCCTCGAACACCTCCGACAGGCTGAAGTGAAACTCCGAAGTCTGGAGGAGGTCTTGACGGAGGTCGGCATCCCGGTCAATACCTCTAGCACTATCAAGGGGAAGATGAAAGAAACGTACCGAGCGGCGGTTTACCCCATGAAAAGAAGCAAGCTCGAGGGCGCCCGGCAGAATGTCCAGTCCATATTGGGCATCCTCACAACCGCTCTGCAGATGGCAGATCTGTGTGTTTGTTCTGTCTCTTGAATCACAACATCCGAGCTGACTAGAGCTTTACAGGGACCTGGGTGCCTCTCATTCCGATGCTTTGAAGGCTGTACAAGCGAGTACCACTTCCAGCGCACGCGAGTTGAAAGCTGCCGTTGAAGTCAACTCAACACAGGTTGAATGCCTTCAGGTCACATCTCGGCGAGAATTTTCCGATATCAGCCAAAGCCTCAGCTCAGCCAGAGCAGAGGTTCAGGCATTTTCAACCGCTTCAGCTAGCCAGTTTGATTCTATTGGCAGTGACGTCAGGGAGAGCCTTGAAAATACTCATCTCCTTGTTGGAATGATGAGGGATCTGAGTCTTCAGATCAACTCCACTTCAGCAAACTCTAGGTGTGCGGGATCTCACAACCAGGTTAGGATCTTGATCCCTTGCCAAACAGGACAAGTTAACCTCCAGCTACTAGACTGCCCTACTTATGGCAACGCTCGGCTCACGAGTTCCTCCAAGCTCTCTCAAGCAAGCTTGCGACTTGTCTGCAACTGACACTAATCTCATTCCCGGGTCCTCTAGGAGTATCAACGAACTTCCGCAACCTCGCCGCCGTCGAAAGTACTGCAAGTGTCCCCCAAGACCCAAGAGGAGGGACGACTTTCTTTCTACACTCCGTCAGGGAGCCTATTTTGAACAGACCACCATCTCGGAGCATGATGTCGGCTGTCCTTTTGCAAAATTCGGCCGCAAAACCTCAACAACGAAAGCTGGGGCGCGATTCCGTGTACAACTTGGAGGCCTTTTCTCAACACTAGTCGACGTTAGCATGTGCTTAACAACGGGGGCTGGGGGCTTCAGTCTAAGTCCATGCTTGAGATACGTGCGCATCCTTGCCGAAGAAGGGCCTGTGTCGCGGCTTATATCCGACTGCTTCCATCCAGAACCAACTTCTGCTGTCAGCGGGCAAGGAGAGACCATGGTGGATAGGCTTTTGCATCTGAAAAGGCAGATTGCAACCTGTTTCGAGCAAGGGACAGCATCGCCGTATGATGTCCACGGGGATTTATCTGGCCCGTACTGGGTAGTAAGTCAACGAAATTTCATGTCCTATTTCACACAGCCCAATTCTTTCGTTTGTTCCCATCATAATTAGTTCCGAGCCCACCTCTCCTGACTACATCCCCTCCTGGTTCATAGGCAGGTATAGATGTTGCCGAAAGGGGGCCTAGTAAAAAGCGAGTAAATTAACAATTAACCGCCTTATAGATGCTACTTAAAAAAATTATGGTATTCTGTAGTCAGGAAGAATACGACGAAGAATCCCTGAGGCTTATACTCAACATGATTCAATGGCTTGCTGATGCGAGTGCTCCGGGGGTAGCCAAACAGCATGCTGAGTGGCGGTAGGTCATGTCCTCGTTTACATGGATGCCACCAGACCCAAATTTTAACATAGGTACTTATTTACAGGACCCTCTTTGAAATACACTGTTGGCAATACCTCCTTTCTAGGTTGCCGGACAACAACAAGAATAGGGCAATCGCGCTTGACTTTTTTACATGCCTTCTAGATACTATTGAACCTAGGGACGAATCCGTCATCAAAATAATCGTCGGTTCTAACTTGGACTATATTCACCCGCTTCTGATGAGTTATGCATCGCGTAAGTCGGAGGACCCTCCAAGCCACGAACACTACTTGCTAATTGCTCAAACAGCGGATGTGTCCCCAATGGCCTGGGCAATTCTCTCTAGGTCCATGCCCGAACTTGAATACCAACTCAAACTCGCCCCAGACTCGATTTTTGAGAGAACTTATGGCTACACCACGCTCCAGCTTGCAAGACTTTGGCCACAAGGCTTCACGAGACTCGTTGATGCCGGTGCTCGGGTGCTGCTTCATGAGCCAACACCAAACGAAGGGAATATGCTCTTTCCTTTTAATCCCTCCATCCCCATGGTTCCCTTGGCTCCGCTTTCTCTAAGCACTCTACTTGACACAGGACACACACTGTTTCTAAACAACAATTACCACGTCTTGAGATGTCTTCTTTCAGAATGCACGGACACGGCTGCACGAGTGATAGCCGGACATCTCTCTGAAAGGCTCAGACGGCTGTCTGAACTCGCAGCCAATTTTGGAATCATCTCGCAAAATGGTCCCTTCGTTCCAGATTTTGCTACGGCAGCTCGCTGGTGCCTCGTTCTTGAGGAGTCGGGCGAGTCAATTGATCTATCGATCCGGGTGCCCATGAGCGACGATATGGTTCCTACCGTCTACCACTTCGAAGACATGCCGCTCCGCTTCTTTCCCATCTTCTACGAGCATGGGTTTGCGCACGCCAACATACGCGATCAGCGGGGACTGCCCCCGATGCTCGTTGGAAGGCGTTGGTCATTTTACTATTATAAGCAGTACTTTCTCACGGAGCGCGTGCCTGACGACAAGACCTGGATATTCCATAACATGCCATGGCTCCGGCAACATGAATTTCTTGATCAGAAGCCTCATGATCCACTAGGGCTAGGACTCAACGTTGACGCAACCAGTGCCCACCTCGTCGCTGCTAAAATGGGGTCACACTTTTACCTCAGATTTAATGATCAACAAGACATAGATCATTATTTGTCTCTATCTGCAGACCTTTTGCGGCAATTCGCTAAGGACTCCCATCGAGATGAATGTGTTTGCTGGTGCAATTTTGATGGTGACGGCTGTTCACCACTCAAGCTCCTCTACAAGTCCCATGCACACCCAATGCAGCATTACCAAGGGATAAGGATATGGAACAAAGACGAATTCCAGATCAAAATCATCAAGAGGCTCCTCTTCGACTTTGACGTGTTTGAGAACCCAACAGCAACTCCGACACTGAGTGTCAAACAACAAAGAGAAAGAGAGCAGACTACAAAGACGCAGCCGTCGACGCGAGCGTTGGAGCTTGTTCGCCTCTTGACATTCAATGCTCTCGAAATGACGCACACTTGTTGTATGCTCGAGGAGTTAGAAGGGAACCACCACTACATCCATGTTATTCTAAACTGCAACCCCAACACCGTCAGAGACATTCGACAATCCGAGGAAGAAAGAAAGAATGCGGCGCTCCTTGATACACTGATGGAGGAGTTCTCCAACGCCATGCAGCAGGATTATCACGCAAAGTCTCTACTTGATTTCATATTCGGCTACTGGACAGCTCGAATTGAGGGTCTCTATGCTGTGCAAGAAGATGAGGTTCAGAAGATGCAACAGCACGTCGGCAACGTGCGTACTGGTAAGTGCAATCACTCTTTTCCGGGTCGTCTCAAGATTAAATAACTTTATTATGCACAGGTATCTGGCCTAAGCCACTACGAAGGCTACTTTGGCCTACCAATCCATATATCTACGGAGAGACTGACTCAGGTGAAGATGGGAATGATGATGAAGACCAAGAAGGGGAGTATAGTGATTAAGAAGAGAAAGAGATCACAGGTTTTGTTTGAGATAGCCCTGAGCTTGTAGACTACTACTCACTGCTTTTTGAAATACAAAGCAATTTCATTAACTTGTCTTCAATAGAGACAGTGTGGCCATAGTTTTCTCTGATGAAGCCAATGTCGAATATAATAGTTTCTGAACTAGCGCTATTGACACCTGGCTCTATGCAAGAACTTTTATTAGAAACCACCATTTCTCCATTTTCACATAGTGTCAGGCACGGCAGACAAGAAAGCGGGTTTTGCATGAAATGACAGCATTAGATGGAGCCACTGTGTTAATTGGGGTATGGTGCTATGAAGCGTTGATATTGTGTTCTTTGTTATTGTTAAAGCCCGTCCCTTGTTGGGATAACTGAGAGAATAGATCGATCGTTAGACCTAGCGGTCAAATCCAGAGTTGACAAAAAATATTATCCAATGGTTGGATTGAATACTTTAAGCTGAAAAATCGGGTATCACTACAGCTTTGTGCCCTAGGCTTCAAGACCTTCTGTACCCGATATCACTTGCTCAGAGGCTCACGAACCGCTGGGACATACTGTAACAAGGCAGAGCGTCAGTAACATCCATTTTGAAGAGTAGATTTTACACTAGACTTACTGGTATGATCTGGGCTTTTTCGAGGTCCCACACACCGCTGGTTGCGTACACGTCATTCTCGATGATTGTGCGCACCTCGTCGATGCTTTTGGCGGAATAGACGACAACACTCCCCTTGAATAGAGCTGGCTCTCCATCAACAGGGTGCTTTTCAAAAATAGCACCTATCAGAGACTATTAGATAGTAATTATCAAAGTTATAGGTCACTCACCGCCAGCTGGTAGTGTCCCGGAAGCGATCAATGGCTTGATGCCCTCATAGTGCGTCCTTCAAGGCGTGATGTCAATCATGATATTGTAAGCCACTCAAGCCACTTACGCTTTCACCTTCTTTCTGATTTCCAAAACATCAGGCTTATCAGGCATGATTGCAAGCCATTCCTTCTTCACTACACCCGTCGCCATAGTGCGTTGTGCTTGGTGAAGGGTGGAGAGGCCGAGACTCGGTGTCGCTGAGGGTCGGGCGAGTGAACGTAAGATAGAGGCTGACATGATGAGCATAAGAGTGATTCAAGGGTAAATCATTGAACCAATATACCAGACATATTGCAGTGTATTTATCTATCTCTGTCTATCATTCGCTGGGAATGGCTTCCGTCTTCCTCCGGTCCAGAGGCGGGATGTCATTCCGGCGGTACGTACCGAGCGGAGCGAGATTCCGGACCTCACTTCAAAACACCGTGATAACCACGGGCAGGATTCCCATTTATTTCACAGACATTTTACTTACTGAGGAATACGGGAGCTGTTCTTCTTTCATCATCATGGCTCTCTGCCGCTCTTCCCTTCGCGTTGGAAGCTCTTTTTCCAGCTTTCGCCCTCTGACCCTCAGACTAACAAGCAATCTCCATATCCACAGCCAACCCAACACGCATCCTCGTCGAGCATTCTCCTCTTCGATGCCGCTCCGGGCTCTCATCCAACCGGTCTTTAGCCCTGAGGCTATTCATCGTAAGTGCTTCTTATTACTCCACCAACCCGGGGCTCATACCAATCGTCAGCAATCGGACCCTACTCCCAAGCCATCAAGGCCAATGGCTTCGTGTTTCTTTCCGGTCAACTCCCAGCCGATCCTCAAGGCAGGCTGATCGAAGGTACCGCTGCCGAGAAGGCGCACAAGATGTGCCAGAATGCTCAAGCAGTCCTAGAGGCAGCAGGTTCTAGCCTGGACAAGGTCGTCAAGGTCACAGTGAGTGCTCGAGACCAGCGACGATGCGCCCTGCTAACAAGATACAAGATCTACTTTCGCAACATGGATGATTTCAAGGAAGTAAATGAGGTATATGCCGAGTACTTCCCTCACAAGCCAGCTCGGAGCGCCTGTGAAGCAACAAAGCTGCCGCTGGGTGCAAGCCTGGAGATGGACATTATTGCTGTACAGTAGATATTTGACATGGGAACGCATACTTGGTACACCACTGTTGCCTTTTGAAACACTGCCCGCCGCGGATAATTGTCTAATCTTAAGAAATTCTCATGAATGTATCCTTGTGTTATTTGATAGTAGTTATCTCAGAGCACAAGGAAACTATCTACTGTTGGATGAATTTTCTTTTGTTGTTGCTTCAATAGCATGTTCGCCGTGCATAAAAAACACAACTCAAACATATGACAGGGTGTTACTATCATGTGTTCATTGTTCTGTTCTTTGACCCTGTGCACGGCGGACACCTCATCGAGATAACACAATAACAATCCTGCAACACTTCCAAGGCCTTCTTCTTCTTCACCTTCATTGCAGACGCATGGGCTGCCCCAATCAGAGACTCGTGTTATCAACTGAACCCTTTGTGATATGCGCCTCTCCAATGAGCATGCTTCTACTTTTTCAATGACATCGTTGTCAGACGCATGATCAAAACACACACAACAGCTCTTGTGTGTTTTTTGATCATGTGTCTAACAGCGATGTCATCAAAAAAGTAAGAAAAAAACACATAGAGAGGTACACGGCAACATCAAAACCCAATGCTGCAAAATACCGTAGACCTAAGATAAAGTTAAGCTTCTATAGCCATAGAAACATAATAGTGGGAAGATGAGGCTCACAGTGCAAGATGCCACCTTTCCATGAACATGATTCTGGTCGCTTCTTGGCCCAAAGACAGACCAATACTATCTTCCGAGACATAGTAACTGCCAAGCTCGGGAAGCGGCCAGCCTTTCTTTCTCGTAACAACCATACAAGATCAAGTGATGGAAAGACAAGTCTTGCAGGCAAGATAACATCTTTCCTCTTCCGTGGGGAGGATAACGGTCATCCATTTATCCTGCCTTGGAAAGATGAAGGGTGGCATCTTGCCTGCGAGCCTCATTTCCCTACCATTTGGTCTTGTATAGCTGCCGCAATAGGAAGCCTCGCGCTCCCAGAGTCTCACGAAAGAAGTCCTTCAACCAGAAGAAAAGACGGCGGCGTGATTTTGGAGCAGATGTGGAAGAGCTTCGATAGAAACGGTTGTTTTCGTTCTCTTCGCTGGGTTCAAGTTGCCTAGAGGAATCTATCAGCGGCACAAGGGCGGGAGGGGAAGTGAAGCGGTGAGGCTTCAGTCTCGTCATGGAAGGGATGGTTTCTTGAAAATGATGATGATGCTTTATACTCGAGCAAAGCTGTACACCGCTTGTCGGTCGGTAAGGGTTAACCCTCATGTCAGAGCATCGTCCCTGGTACGACGGATGACAGTGGAGTCGATTGCGGAGCCGTCGGGCGGGAACGAAACTATCCCTGCTAGAGAGTGGAGGTTTTCGGCAGTTCGAGATGGAGAGGACCCGTTCTCGACGACATGGCCTGTTGAGCAGTGATTGACAGGTTGTAAACTGACATGAACTATCTGATTGGTGGTTGGAAAAGATTGGTGTCGTGTCTTGAGGCAGGGAGAGAAGACAATGGAGGCCAGAAGGTCGCTAATACTCATCCTTCGCACCACCAAACGCTCAAGATAATTTTGACCAAAAAGCAGACTACGATCAGCAAGAAGAAGCATGAATATATTCACGTATTAACCATACACTCTTCCATTCATCTGACAAGATTAGCTCGTATCGATTATTCCAGTAATCATGAATTTGTTCCCTCTTTACTTCGGTACCTCACAGACAAAGTTCCCCCTCATCCCAGCCTCTTCTCTCTTCGCGCTCGACAACCACCCAATTCCCTCGGTTAGACACACAATGCAACCCTGATCAGTCGATTCACCTCCGCATTTCGGGTCATCCAGGATGCAAGGGAGCTTCTCCTCCAGTCAGAAACGGTCTCTTCATCCAGGGGTAGCGGCACACCCCCGCGGGACTGCCGTCTGGGGGAAATCCGGGGTTGAGTGAGACAGGGTCCAGGTACTGCAGATGTATCCCGACTGTATCGTGGCTGCTTGTGTATCTGCCTTTGAGGTTCTCCAAATACCATTCAGTGACCTCTTGCGAAACCTTGATAATCTCACTCAAACGCCTCGCATACGCATCCATGACGCCATGAAATTTCCCGCCTTTCACCTCCTTTAAAGGGCAACACCCCAACCTTCTCAACAGATCGGCTCTCTTCTCGTGCTGCGGGGTCGAAAGCTCACAAACACACAAAGTCTCAACCTCAATTGAACAGCTCCAACATCATGTCCGCCCTCGGAAGCCGCGTCGCTCGATCTGTGGTCGCTCTTCGACCTCTCCCCGCAGTTCAACGCGGTCTCCGCACATCGAGCGCTGTTCGTCAGGCCGACCCGCACCCTTACGAGGCGAAGGAGCCAAAGCCGAGAGGCGACCAGTAAGTCTGGACCTCTAACAAAGAAGCTTCAGCTGAATTGATCTCTCTAGAAACAAGTATCTTGCCCTTGGTGCTGTTGCCGCTGGAGTCGGATTCTGGTGGTTCTACCGAGGAGGCAAGCCAGCAGCCGCGACCGAATCGTCAGGCGAAAAGGCAGCGAGCAAGTAGAGGCGATCCATTCCTGCGAGACTCTGCGACTCGACGATTGCATATCACGTACACGATCGAAGCATGATGAGCGACAGCAACATGGAAAAGTAGTTTATTTACTCATGGTCCCGAAAAGAGGACTCGATAGCTTGCGAAATTGAAACTCGGCTGTTCCAACAGAATCATTTGTGCTATTCAACTATGTCTTGGTGGGAGGGCAGCAGGATGGAGAGTCCTGGAGCTCTGTTCCATGGATCAAACCTGTGAACCTCACGGTGCTACCGTGGAAGTGTTATTCCTACCAATCTCAGTGTCTATTTACACCCATTTCGGAAGGGACAAGCACAAGTGCCAAGTGCTCGAGAATTCGCAGGTGCTATGCTACCTATGCTAACCAAATCATGTTGACAGAAACACAAACCTCCCCTTTGAAAGGCATGTCCCGAGGAAAGCTCCAGTGGATTCGAATCATCAGATCATCTGAAATAAGCATCGTGATTATATAAACTCTGCTCTAGTCCATCAGCGATTTCAAATGCTCTACCGCCGCTCAACACATTCGCAGCAAGCGCCGTCTCTTTGGAGAACAGGCAGCAAAGAAGGTCGGTCCAGTTCTTTCCATACAACCTTGCACCTATAAAGGTTCCACGCCAGTTGTCAATATTTGAATTACTAGTTTCATCGCTCTACCAATAAAACAAGACTCGTGTGTTGAGAACTCGACTTCAAGGCGCAAGATGAACTCACTGTGTTGCTGGGCTTTGCTCTCCAGATACCTTGTCCAACTTACTTTGTCCAACTTTCACCTAACCAAAAGTATGCCATGATAGGGGCTTTCATCCCCCCCCCCCCCCCCAAGTTTAGTCGCAAGACTCAAGGAGTCTGAAACGCCAACTCCTCAGGAACTCCCCTAGTTCGTGTCTTTCCGCTGCATTAACACCTCGGCATCTATTATCTTCTTCCCCACTACTCGTCTAACGTATCTCTCTGGAATACATCGCCTTTCCTGCCAAAGGAGAACATGACATGATACGCTTACGAATACCCAGGCACGCGCGCAATCAACCAAGACCTCCATGAGAGTCAGGCTGCAGAGCCCTCCCACCCTGCAGCGCAGCCTGATGGCTAGCACGTCACGGCAAACCAGGCTCTGGAAAGCCGAATTCTATAATCGCCTTAGAATAGCCAGTTTAGAATATCTGGACGATGTCAGCCTGGGCTCATGCAATCTCTTGTTCATATTCAGCGCTTGCCCTGCGACATATCAGAATATTTTCGAAACCTACTACTCCTTCAACACACATTGATAAAACAAGTTTCGTATTCAGGTAGACACTCCAATTTTATCCAGTTTTCTTGCGGCCATGCAAGCCTCATATGCAATACCACCACAAGTTTGCATACACGGCTCCAGGGGGGTTCAGCTCTGGGCTGCTGCGGCCAGTTGATATGACTCTTTCAGACCAGGCTTTCCCCGATAGCCTGCACTTTTCTGAACATGCATCCAACCAGAACGGTGTACGTTATTAGTTCAATCCGCTGGGTGGGTGGCCGCAGGTTGAAAAGCCATGGCTGAGCTCAGCCGACAGGCAGTGAGGATCGCCGACCTCCGCAGCCACCTTTAACAACTAACCAACGACCGACTTCTCCAACATGTTTTTGAACCAGCTGAAGAGAAAAGCAGTTGGCAGTTTCCATGGCAACAAAGCGTTCTTTGACACACAGCCGTGTCGGTGTTCACCGCGTTTGGGAGCTTCCAGAACTACCTCTTCCGTCGCTTTGGAGGACAGTTTTATGGTTTTTTGCACTACTCGTCTAACAATCAGCTATCATTCTTCTCAAAGGCTTATCGGATACTCTGGGCTTGAATACGAGTAATGAATGGTGTTCAAATTTCAGGGAGATGGGAAGTTGACGGACTATCCGTCCGAAGTATCACCACAGCCACCACCGTCAACGCAACAATACACGCAATAGAAAAACCGCTATATCGTCATCTACCCAGGTTCGTTTCAGCCAGAGACATACAAGCCTCACACGGGCCGAGCCGACTGGTCAATCGGGCCCGTAGTCGCCGCTGCCGTTCATCCAAGCCTCCAGGGCACCCTCCCAGGCATCTTCAGCCGTACAGTGTCATACCGAGCCCCTGTGGTTGTGCCAAAAGTCCCAATTGCCTATTCGCAGCCTGATTTTGACTACGCCCTTGCAGATGCTGTAGGCGCTTAAAAGGATCAGAGTCTGCTTCTACTAGTGATAAAAGCTTCAAAAGGATGGATCGTTCTTTTTTCTCCTTTCAAGCCAGAAACCCGCCATCAAATCATCAACTTTCTTGATCAACTGAAACAATGTTGTGGCCTCTCCTCTTCAGCCTCCTCCCTGTCGTCCACGGTGTTGTTCACAACGCTACATACGACGAATACCCCGATTGCGCTGTAACATGCCTCTCCTACAACGGAACCGAATACCCAAACAACTTTGCCAACAATTGCGACTACACGAGCGGCGAATGTTGCATGAGTTCGTACAAAGCCATCATCGCAGCGACATGGGAGTGTGTTTGGTCACACTGTGGGCAGGAAGAGTCTTTGGACGCCTTTGGTATATTTGTCGATTTTTGTGAAGATATGGGTCACCCACTTCGAAGAGAGGATATACCAACGGGGTATGAATCTGTTGTAGAGGGGACCGACGATGAGGAGGGTGAAGACAAAGACAAGCACAATGACGATGGTGAGTTGCGATAACAAAACCTCTAGTGGTCTTGTCAACTAATATTCCCCAGACAATTTCCTCGGCACAGGCCTGTCAAAAGCCCAGCTTATCGGCATTGTGGTAGGAGCAGGCGTAACTGCAACAGTGACGGCTATTGGTCTGGTTCTTAAGTGCTGTTTTGAAGAGCTGTGGAATAGCTGTCTCGGGCGTGGCCGCTATTGACACACTTGTGGGTGGGGAGATGAAGCTCTTTAGCTCCTTTCGAATGTTCAACACACAAAATTTGTATTCAATGCACTTGAAGATATCCTAATACTGCATCTACTATAGATCTCTTTCATTCACAATCCAATTGTTCTCGTCACACTTTATTACCAACCTTGAAAGCTCGACAGCCCAGGCTGCCGATGCTGGTCTGTTATTTTCCCCAGGCATCACCCCACACTGTAGGGTAAGCACAATACCCCTATTTACACGTGCAGAAGGCCCCTCCTCCCTTTGGCAACTAATTTAGTTGAGATTTCCCTTTTGGTGACCGCCTTTATTTCTCCAGGGTGTCCCCTCCTCCCCTCATCCCGCGCCAACACCAACAAAACAAAAAACAGGCCAGCAACAGCTCTTCAATCTTGTTCAAAGATTGTTGATTTTCTTTTCCCACTCCCTCCTGACCTCCTCTTCAAACTCACATCACCATGTCTCTCCACGTTCCTATGGCGCATCGCCCCAAGGATCAGGGCGCCACCAAGGCCGTCATCTTGGTATAGCTTCACCTCCTGACTCTACCTCAACAAACCAGCTAATTTTCCTAGGTCGGTGGTCCCTCCCGAGGCACGCGCTTCCGTCCCCTCTCCCTCGACCTCCCCAAGCCCCTCTTCGAGGTCGCCGGCCACCCCATCATCTGGCACTGCCTCTCGTCCATCGCGCGCGTCCCCAACAAGCAGATCCACGAGGTCTACATCATCGGCTACTACGACGAGTCCGTCTTCCGCGACTTTATCAAGGACTCTGCAAAGGAGTTCCCCGCCATCACCATCAAGTACCTCCGCGAGTACGAGGCTCTCGGCACCGCTGGTGGTCTGTACCACTTCCGAGATGCCATCCTCAAGGGCCGCCCCGAGAGGCTGTTTGTCCTCAACGCCGACGTCTGCTGCTCTTTCCCTCTCGATGAGATGCTCAAGCTCTTCAACGACAAGGACGCAGAGGCTGTTATCCTCGGTACCCGCGTGAGTGACGAGGCTGCCACAAACTTTGGCTGCATCGTCTCCGACGCACACACCCGCCGTGTTCTTCACTACGTCGAGAAGCCCGAGTCGCGCATCAGCAACCTCATCAACTGCGGCGTGTACCTCTTCTCCACCGAGGCCATCTTCCCCTCGATCCGCTCCGCCATCAAGCGCCGCCTCGATCGCCCCTCCCGTCTGGTGTCGTACCCCTCGTCCGACAACCTCGAGAACAGCTTCATCCTCCCCGACGACGACGACGAGGATGAGGAGAAGAAGAGGGAGGTCATTCGTCTCGAGCAGGATATTCTCAGTGACATGGCCGACAACAAGCAGTTCTTTGTCTACGAGACAAAGGATTTCTGGCGCCAGATCAAGACGGCCGGCTCAGCTGTCCCCGCCAACGCCCTCTACCTCCAAAAGGCTGCTCAGTCCGAGCTGAGCGGCGAGCTCGCCCCTCCCAGCGCCAACATCGTGCCTCCCGTCTTCATCCACCCTACCGCCGAGGTGCACCCTACCGCCAAGCTCGGTCCCAACGTGAGCATCGGACCTCGAGTCCACATCGGCGCCGGCGCGCGTGTCAAGGAGAGCATTGTCCTCGAGGACTCCGAGATCAAGCACGACGCCTGCATTCTGTACTCCATTATTGGCTGGGGTAGCCGCGTTGGCGCTTGGGCTCGTGTCGAGGGTACTCCTACCCCTGTCGGCAGCCACTCGACGAGTATCATCAAGAACGGCGTCAAGGTCCAGAGCATCACCATCCTGGGCAAGGACTGTGGCGTTGGCGACGAGGTTCGCGTTCAGAACTGTGTCTGCCTGCCATACAAGGAGCTTAAGAGGGTATGCCACCTACGCCCTCACGATTACGGACCAATGCTAACAGACAATAGGATGTCGCTAACGAAGTCATCATGTAAGCCCAGTACTGCATGTACACCCATCACATTAGACACATGCAGAGGCATTGTCCCTTTTGACAATGGATGCATGATAAAAGCCTAGGATGCTATCTGCTTTGCTTGTTGAAGCTGCAGCACAGCACGTAATGGAGGAGGTATATAGCCAGGACCAGCACAGCACATGAAAGCAGACAAGGTGTTTCCGTTCAGTTGGCGCACAGTAAAAAGCGGCACATGATAGACCAAGTAAGTATACCAGAAAAAGCAACATGGGCGTGTATTCCGTCCAAGTCCTCTCCACCAGGAGTCTTCTCCATTGAGAGTCGTGCTACACACTTCCTCCTCTTTTCATGCCGTCTAAGAGCCGTGCTATACACTATTCCTCTTCTCACGCCCTCCAAGATCCAAAGTCTCCATCCAGGGGTATTCATCCGTATCATGCCCCTCTCCAGGGGCGACGTCCTGTATCCTTTTGCTTACTCCCCTGCCTTGCCCCAAACGGTCAGGCGCCCAACACGCCAGTCGACCCCTCCTCTTGTCCCGGCTGTATGAGGTAAAATAGCTCTATCTATCCGATAAATGTACCAATGAGATCCAGGCTATATATAGGTACTGTAGTGCAGGTTGCGTATCATTCATGTCTTCGTTTGAGTTCGTGAGATGTGACTTTCCGAGCGAGACTGGTTTCTCACTTGAAGTCAAATAGTCAAATTCGCTATCAAGTGGTAATGGATATCACTCCTCTCTCTTGACGTTGAGTCGGCTCGGCGTTCTGGGCAGCATTGGGCTGCTGGGTCTGCTGGTGGTCAAGCCAAGAGGACCCTCGTAGTCCAGTGGGTTGACGCTCAGCCGATTTGCCGCCATGTTGCGAGGCGTCTGGTAGGGCTCAATGGCGGCCTTTTCAAAGGAGTGGATCTGGATTGGCGGTGGGCGACGAATAACCCGGTCCGAGGCGTTGTATATCCAGGTGGAGAGGAGAACAAGGGAAGTGCCGAGAATGAACTATACCAGATATCAGTACCGACCATGGCGCCACCATTCCAGCTGGGAGAACTTACCGTTAGAGACACTTCAAAGTTGAATACCAAGACGCTAATCAAGAAACTAATGACAATGCTGATGCTTGTCGCAAAGTTCTTGACAATGTTGTCCGCATCGCGAATCACAACGCTCGCAAGTATACCGCCTGCAGCTTGGAGGAAAACGGCAGTCCAGACGACCCAGTTGTAGCCTTCAAAAAAGCCATGCTCGCTGATGCCCTCTCCGTCTTGCCAAATGACACCACCCAGTCCAGCAGCGAAGATTGAGTAGAAGCTCAGCTGGACATTTCGGATCCAGACGCTGGCTTGTGTTGGGCTCTCTTTTAGGAGCTTCTCGAAGTAGACACCCGTCAAGCCAGACACAGTAGCAGCCACAAGAACAGAAGTAAGGCCGACCGAGTAGTTCATGAGGGGATCAAGAGGGGGCAGATCATGATCGATGCCCTGGTACGTCGCAGATCGTTTGGCTAATTGTCCAGAACCATCCCTAGGAACGTGACCGAGTTCATGGAGCGAGCGGGGAAAGAAGTGGTCTGTCATGTGGCGCAGAGGGACGTATGAGGGGCTGGACGAGGAGCTGCCTTGCGGGAGGGAGACGACCGAGACACCGAGAGTGAGAACGATGAGGGCGAACCAGCGCTTAGGACCGAGGTGTCGACGGAGAAGGACGACGCTGAAGAGGGCAGTGATGAGGATCTGGTAGTTGGTCAATTCCCGTTCTGGTGGCGCATTGCGAAGCAAGACCACAAACCTTGAGCTGGTAAAGCACCTGGAAATGGACGGCATCCAAGTTTCCCACAGCCACGTACTGCAACAGGTTCTGAAGGGTATAGAACGCAGCAGTTATGGCAAGCTTCCAGCCATCACCCGCAAAGACCGAGTTGTAGATTTGCTCAAACAGGACGGTGGCTGGCGTCGTGGGAGCCAAAGTTTTGGAGGTGTCGTAGATGGCTAGCGAGAGGGACACGGCGAGCTTGATGATCTCGTTAAGGAAGACGGCGGTCGAGGTGAAGTAGCGGTGGTCGCCGGTCGGAGGCATCATACGGGAGTAGTGCATGATCTGTAAGTCGTTAGCATTGTTTGTAAAGCTGTAGAGCTTGATCGCGTACCAAGATGAGGGCAGAATTTTGAAAGGTCAGCTATAACAGGAGTCAGCGCAAAAGAATCCCACATGCCAGAAGCTGGAAGAGCTTCATCATACTGTTGTAAGCGACCATTGCTTCTTGGTGAGCCCCAGAAAGGTGCCCTGGCTCGCAGCTGGAGCCTTGGGGAGCTGGAGGATCGCCATGGTTCAAGCTTGCAAGTAGAAGGCACGCAACGCGATGCTGTAGAAAGAAAAAAGAGGTGTATCCCGTCGGCGGCCTTGGGTTTAAAGGAGTGAAATGCGCCTGAAACCGCGACGAGCCAACTTGCGACGGTAGTTGCCGAAGGCGCAATGCGACACAGCAACAACGAAAGCGGCTTTCTGGTGACTTTTGCTAGGCTGATCGATGGATGTCGCTCCGTCTTCTTCGCGACCCCTCGAATAATTTGCGTCGTCGCTCAATTGACGTCAACAGCTGTAGCTTCTCTTCCTTTTCAGCTTCGAGGCCCCTCCGCGATCGCAAGCGCGTGCTGTGCTGCCAAGGCTCGGGAGCCAAGAATTTCGAGGGGGTTCGGTCGTCTCTCGGCGTCGTTCGCGTGTCCGTGCTCGTTTAACGAAAAAAGGGTTTCTCGCAATGTCGACAAGAATATCGCAAATCAAGCTGCACCGAGTTCAAGTGAAAAGAATAAAGAGGAGAGGAAAGGAAAAATCGAAGCAAGGGAGAAAGAAGGAAGGAGAGGGAAAAGAGGCGGGGAGGAGGCTCCTCAAAAAAAGGAAACCTGCATAGGATAAGAGACACACCCTGGGGGAGTGAAACAAGAGTCCAAAAAAAAGGAAGAAAAAAAAGTACAAGCATGGAAAGGCTGCCGAACTAACCAAGTCCTTTCCCCCTGTCATTCAATGAGCAAAAAAGGAGAGCAAAAAACGGGGGGTCAAGGTGCCCTTGGAAGTACGGTAAGGCAGGCTGAGAGAGAGTCAGAATGGGGCAGGAACACATGTGGTGTGCCCTTTCCCATTTTTTCTCCACTATTTCTTTTGGTGGCGGGGGGGCCTGACAGGGCAGGACAGGGGCACAGCTGCTTCCTTCGATTGTTTCTTGTTTCTTCAGCACAAGAAAGCTTTCATCATGCATCTTATCAACGATTGGACAACCCCTTTTCTTACTCCAACAGCTTTTCTAATATTCACTTCCTCCTTTTTTAAATAAATGTCTAATTATGCTTCTCTCTAATTGAACAATTAAAATAAATGGTTGCATACGACCCA